TTTTTCCGGACACAAATAACTGGGGAGGAGATTCTGCACATAGTCCTTCACCTCCTTGTACAAGGGCTTGGGTATGGAGTTGTAGTTCTTTTGAACAGGTTTGTTGTCCACAACATTGATTTTCAGCTGTAAGTCAGGTATACAGCCTATGTCTCCCTCTCCTCTTGCAAACACATCCGATTCCTCGAACAGCATTTGTTGCGCAATCTCTTGCTGCTGTTGTGTAAGATGCTCTAAATTGACTGGAGGATGCAATTTTTCTTGTGTGTGGGACTTTGCTGAGCTGCCCATTCTGTCACTGGAGTCGTCGTTTGGTTCAACCTGTGCGACGCACAGGTACGTGTCACTGTTTGGCTGCTGTGAAGGTGAACCGAGATCAACCGCTGTGCTGTCAATGATTTATTCTATACAGCCTAAGACGGTTCTTGGTGACAGGAAGATGTCATGCTTGGTGGAGTAGCATACTGGAATCTTAACAACTTTGGAAGCACCAGTGGGCACATCAACCAATGCAGGAAACAGTTCTAACCCCTCTGGTAGGAAACTCTCTAAGATGGGTTCAAATAGCATTGTTCCTCCTTGTGGTCACACACTTACTTTGCACTTTACTTCAAATACTTGACCACTTGGAACTGTAAGACCTATTTTCCCCACCTTAATGGTGTTATTTACTGGCTTTTCTTGCTCTTGGGCCTCACTGATTACAGACACAATGGTTTCAGCTGTCTTTTGTCGGAGCTTTAATGCTTCTGCAAGTAAGTCACTTAGACTGACACTTCCTGGCTTTTCAAGACTCTCTAGAATGATCTCCTCTATCACATTAAACCCAAGCAATAAACTGTTAACACAGTTCTGACTCACAAACATGGGTACATTAATGGCTACTTGACCATGTCTTGAACTTTTGATTTCAACCAGTATTTCAGTCCATCCATCATATCCATCTGTCCCATTAGCTGCCGTTATTCTTAGTGGATCGTCTGGCAAGAGTTCTTCAAGTGACTGGATTTTGGCATTAGGTAAGTGTTTTTCTAGCCAGGATTTTTCCAGTATAGTAACCTGAGCTCCAGTATCGAGTAAAGTGTTTGTCTGCACACCATTGAGGTAACAGGTAAGCATACACCTTTTGCCAATTAGCTTTGCAACCCGACTTCCTTGTCTTACTCTGTTTTTTAATGTTGACGGACTCTTATTAGTCGTAGCTGCATGGCTGGTTACTGTGACAGGGGACTCTGATTCTTGTTTAGTCCCTGGTGGTCCCTCCCCAGTGACCATATCCCGTTTCCCACTGGCTTACTCTTTGACAGGCAGCCAACAGCTCTGTGGCCTTCCTGACTACACTTGAAACAGTGGTTGCAGCTTGCCGTCCCTTGAGCCATGCATAGTTTGCATTTCTCCCTGGTGGTAGACTTGGGTGGATGCACAGTACTTACTGCATTGGCCTGTGTCAACTCTGGAGTGCTGGCTTTTGGTGTGAACGCCTTTTCTATTGAGTTGGCTAAGGCTGAGACATGTGCTGTCAGTTCATATATAGCTGTGCGGTTTGCCTGGACTTCAGCTTGAGTCTGTAGAACGCTGGCTTGAACTTCAGCTGGAGGCTGGACTGTATGCTGTCTCTCCCCTTGTTGTGTGGCATTAACTGTGACTGTTTTGGATTTGTGTGTGTGACCTAGGCGCACCCGTCTCTCACATTCTTCACCAACTGATTTTGTCATTATCTCTAAGATAAAATCATCAGTTACACTTGTGTTGCTCATGAGAGGTTTAAGGTCTCGTCTAACATATTCATATTTGTCACTTATTCCCTGATACAGTGAATGAAGAAATATTCCATGCACCAGTTTAGTGTCATACTGAAACTCTGAGCTACCTTGTTGGGAAGCAAATATTACTCTCTGTTTTAGCCCCATTACACGATACATGAACTGTTGTGGGCTTTCTTTGTCCTGTTGTTTTGTATTGCTAAGCTCCTGAAATAGCTCTGCACGACTCTTATCTTGCAAATGTGCTCTGAGGAAACGCTTGAGCTCAGCTACAGTTAACCCATCTTTGGTCATCAGCATGTCTTTAAAGTTACCAGGCTTGATTATCTTCAAAACAGTGCGGATTACCTCTGCCTCACCGAAATTCTCAGATAACCGTTCATCAATCTGCCTACACAGTGAGGTATAGCTAACATCAGAATCTGAGTCAGAAATGTGTCCACTGTGAATCTTAAATTCTCTACGTGGCCGTAAAGCAGCAACATCCGACAACTTAATCAAATTAGTTACCTGGCTGGATACAACTGGTGACATGTCTGCTTTAACATTCATTACTGAAGGTGTAGCTTGTGTTTCAGTCTCTGTATTTAACTTACGGTGCTCTTCTACAGCCTCTGACAGTTGCTGTAGTTCAGTGATGAGGTCGTTGAAGACTAACAGCCGGGACATGCCTTGGTCCTCTTGACTTGCCAACTGGTCACTTTTCAGAAAGTCCACAATGAAGTCATAGAGTTCCACATCTGTTGCATCATCCCCTGGTAGCTCTTCTTCTGCCTCATCATCAATCGACGCTACCAGCTTGTAGAGAACATCACTTTCGTTGAAGTTAATCAGCTGATGAAGCTGCATTTGGATGTCCCTTCGCAGATCTTTTATAGCAGACATCTCTCAAATAGCAGGAGTTCAGCACGTTGTTTCAAATCTTGGTGTCAGGTTCATTTACGGATGCTGTCCTCAGGAAAAAAAACACTTATCCCGGACGATCCCCCAAATGTTACTGGCCTCAGGCCTAGGGGTACCTGGGCCAGCAGCAGACTCTGTATATGAAAAACACACGAGGCAGAAATGTTAGCTTGTTTGTAGCTCAACTGCAGGATTTAATCTGTTCATTTGGAAACAATCCACAACAAAAACATTTATCCATGCTCATTTCCATGAGGCAACAACACCAGAGATCAATAAGGCAACAGCATCCACATAACAACGATGACATCATGGTAAAAATACAACAGAAATGTACAATAAAATCGTCACACTCAGAACTCACTGTTATCCTCACACTCAAATTCCAATACAATACACACACTTCAAAGAAACATATACAACCTATATGCATAAACACAATCTACCTCTCAGTCATTTACATCATACACCAAGCAACACGTGTCTACATAGTACTGTGTAACCTTAGCGTTAGCTCCGCTAGCGTCACATTGCACATATACATAACTGCCTAAAACAACGATTAGACATATAACACTCAATCACAACACACTCATAACACGTATACCCCTTATACTGGGACACTATGGTGTCATTTGAAGGACTTAGAACCCACCTGTATATGAAAAACACACGAGGCAGAAATGTTAGCTTGTTTGTAGCTCAACTGCAGGTTTCTGCCCTTGCAGGGTTCTAGATCCTCCCGAGTGGTATCGCCCTCTAGTGATCAGTCCGCCACACAGTTGCAATGTAATACCGTTAAATGACTTCTAAAGAGACAACAATAAAAAATATGGGGTTGACACTTTTTTAACTTAACTTATTTTTTTTAACAATGAACTGGTTTAAGCCTTTACACATGCATCTGGGAAAGGTGAGCTTGAGCTAGCCAGGGGAACGTTGCTAGCGCAGCTAACATTAACGTTAGTGCTAGCATTATCCACGTCTTTAGGCGGCTCTTCTAATGATGTAGTGCTAGTAGCAGCTTCACTTGTAGCTTCGGTGCTGCTCGCCTCTTTCTTCTTGTGAATTATATTCTTTTTAGAAAATAAGTCAAGTAAAACATGTTTGCCTGCCATTATACAGTAGAGCTTTTTCGTTAGCGTTCTTGAGGGAAATAGCTGCCGCAAAATCGGCGAGCTGGCTCGCCGTGGGTGTGTCAGTGATACACCCCCAGCTCGCTGCGGGGTCACGAGCATGATGACGAATCATACTTTCTTAAGGAAATCGTTTTATTTTTTATTATATTGTGAAATGTATTATGTTTTTGTCATTATTACAACAAATACACACTTGCAACTGATAACACTGGCAATTATGTTATATTTATTAGACTTTTAAAAAAAAGATCATGCTCCAAATAAGTGGGGGTACAGCGTACCCCCGCGTCCGACACCCACTACACCACTGAATATGAGTCCAAACAACTCACAGACACACAGGCCAGGGTGCTGACAGGGCGTCCTTTGAGCATCAGATCTGACGACGCTGATTGGCTGAAATTATGTTTCGGCGGCATAGTTTACAGATAACAACAGTCAGCTTGTTGGTTGCTGCTGCTCTGGCTGAGGGCTCCTTTCTTACCGCCCAGACGAGAGAGGGTAATGAATGATACACGCTGCGGCCAGGCAGGAAACATGTGACTTATCAGTAACTTTAGACATCGTAAAACAATTTTAAACGAGATGTTATTGTAGATTATACATTTTACTGATACCAACTATATAATATTTACCTTGTTCATTAAAAATATAAATACAAATAATATATTTGTTCTTAAATATATATATATATTTTTTTTTTAAGGACAATCAAACATGTGGGAAGAGGGGGAGCGGCGCCCCTAGCGCCCCTATGGGCCGGCCGCCACTGCCAAGCACTGACCACAAAGTGGCATGAAACCGTATAATAAACGTATTATATTCTTTGCAAGCTCTTGCGGGCCACATACAATGAAGTTGCGGGCCGGATTTTGACACCCCTGCCATAGACATATCTAGACCTTATGTTGATGCTAATTTGACCTAGGTTTGTAGGCTACTTTTAATTAAGTAACATTTTCAAAGCATGGCTTGTACTTAATAGAATATTTGCACATTGATGTAGACTATTTCTTTGAGCATGTCGTCATATCATAAGAGATTAAATGTGGCCTTTTAACAGAATCTATAAACATTTACTGACTCCAGTCTTTTATGTTTCCCCCGGACTACACTACCCAGCATGCACCAGCACTTACGTTGGCTGGCCCGATTGGCTGACGTGGCCCCTCCCTTGATACTCCCCTCCCAGACTTCAGGTCGACTGACATGTTTTACTGCAGCAGAGGAGCTCAGAGTGCCGAAAACAACCTCAGAGCTATGACTGCTCATGCTAGCATGTGCTGCCGCTTGTTTGACAGACAGAGGAGTTCAAAACATTTCAGAAAACTCTTTGTCCAGTGTGTAAATGGGAACACTCAGCGACTGTATTCCGGTGCTACGCACAAGGAAAACGCTCTTGAACTTGGAGACTCGACTTCATCTGCTGCCAACTTTGCTTCTTCTGTGAAAGCCCGGACAAAACAGGTAACCTAATACTGTGTATGACTTAAACTCGGTCTTTTTAGAGTGACTGTCTTAGTTATCAGCTTATGTTAGTTATGAGTAATAGCATGTCGGGTGTCAGTTTGTAATGTAGCCAGAGCCAAAGTCCAGTTAGGGGCCCTTTAAGGTTAAACTGCCTAACTCGTATAAGAACTAAATGTTAAACCAGCAAGTTAATACCTACCCAAGTGTTGTAAAATGAGTTGTGTCCCAGCCAAAAGCATTATGACACCACTTAATTTAGAAAAAACTGCATATTTCTTCATGAAGTTAATTGTTAAGCTATTTTATTTGACTGTACTATCAATAACAGGGTGAATGATTTAAGGATTTAAACTATAAGCTTCAGGATACTTTTGGGTGCATGCATATTCAGTAGCCTATCTGGCTATCATGTGATTAACTTAAATGTGTTTTCTTAATATGCTGCCAATGTGTTTGCTTCCTCTTTTTCTGATCACTTCTTGCATAACAGTGGACCACTGCTGACAGTCAAAGGTCAGGAGCTAGCTACAACGTCAGGGTGACTAACATGTTTTTTAAAGCTTCAGGATATTCTTGCATTTCCCCAATAATATGCTCCTGGGGTTATGACTTTTTTCTGGTTTATGGCCACTGATTCAACCTTAGACTTAGAGACCAAATATTGTTCATCAAGACCAGTAGAGGAACTAAGGAGCCGTCTCTATCATCTGGTCACATTTTGGTGACATTCTGATCATTATATCCAGAGATGGCGATAAGGCGGACCCCTGATGTTTGGTAGGATCCAAACATCAAAAATAAAATCATTTTGCAGTAAAATATTTTTGTACAACCATCCACAAGACCTATGAAAAAACATAGTCATGCTTTTTTCTACTTTGGGTAGGGGCAACTCAAAGCCAATTTTTGTGTGATTTGTTCCTCTACAAGATGTGAAGTATGACAAAAATAAATGTGTGTAAACAGAAGAAGTCCCGTAGATGTAGGTTTGCTAAACAAAAAGACATCCCAATGCTATTACCTTCTTTTTCTTTATAACAGTTTCACTTCACAGTACCATTGTCGTGTTTTTCCTTTATCCCCATCAGAGTCTAAGTGACGACAGCATACTACCCTTTTCGGCGTTCCTGACTGACAACTTTGGCAGGAGGCACAACTACCTGCGCATCTCCCTGACTGAGAAATGCAACCTGCGTTGTGAGTAGAGTCTCATTGTGATTAAAAGATGTCCTTACTGTGTTTCCCCTAGGATGGAGTCATAGCAGTGGTGCTAAGGCACGTGGGTCCAGCATAGTGTGAGCGCGGAGCGCGTGGAATTTTTTAGTGCGCCCCGCCAATTTGTTTCTATGTGTCTGCCAGCACAAGAAAGGCTCTTGAGGCCTAGTAACAGGGCCGGTTCTAGCCAATTTGCTGCCCAAGGCGAGATTTTATATGTAAAGAATAAATGAAAAATCACTACAAAAGACAAATACACTACAAAAACTGAAACTTATTGACATAGGTAATATAGGTCAAAATGGCTTCAAATGTATTCAGTATTTTATGAACATGTTTTAATTGGGGGCGGACGTCACATTCTCTAGGGGGGTCCGGGGGTATGCCCATTTTAAAGTAAAATGCTTCAATCTGATGCACTTTGAGCACACAATTACTAGAGACCTGATCTAGGGAGTACAACTCTAAAACACCCATATGAAAAAGATTGGTTTACATTTTAATAATCAAATAAGTATGTGAACATACCCAATAACCTACCATAGCCAATAACAAATAAATGTAACTTATTTTATTTTTGTTGCTCATGTATATCTTATTTTACCAGTTAACATTTATTTATGCATATTTTTGTATCTCTCCAACTTTAAACGATATTTTTGGTTTACTGTCCTATATTATACATTGGAATGATTTCAAACCTGTTTTTATTTATCCTAATAATTATAAAGGAGTGAGTGCCTTGAAAATATGCGTTTACATCTGTAAACACATATTTGTTTGAGACCCACTGAGATAACTTAGACTAAAATTAACTATCTAAACACTCAGAGTCCTTTACCTCACTGAGCCTCTCACGGAGCGTCCACACTACAGCTTCAAAAAAAGCTTGGAGCTGGGCGTGTCTGAAGCTTGGGGATGTTATTCAAGCAACACGACCAACAACCAATCACATGAATCTCCCGCCCCCGACATACAAAGCAAAAAACCCCAGGGATTTTATGGGAGCAATATATATATAAACTCCCCAAACAGGCGAAAACCTACCAGTTTCACCCACTGTCTCTGCCACCTCCATGGTTCCTCCGGTTTGTATCCCGGTAGGTGAAGAGGGTCTGGTCATACAAAACCGGGTGATTTGCTACGGCGATAATTAGTTTCTCCTCCATCTTTTTTTGAAATATAGAAATGAACGGCGGGATATCTCTCCCAGCTTAGACGCGGTTTGATTGGCTACGGCTTGAGCTGTCAGATTTTCCGAAACGGGATTTGATTGGCTGGCGCTGGCTACTCCGGCGTCTCCGGCGGAGACGGACCGCTATGCTACCCACAATTCAGTTCGGCGAAAAAGCGAGGCAACGTGACGTCACCCCATTCAAAGTGAATGGGCAGATTGAAGCTGTCGACGCTGTAGTGTGGACGGGCCGTCAGTCTGACAGGAGAGCTCTCCTCCACCCTGGTTGTAGAAACATCTACTTCTTATATCTGTTAGCGCAGCTAGCACCAGATTCTAATAACAACAGCGCCGGTACCGGTGCGCCCTCTCTCTCTCTCCCTCGCTCGCTCTCTCGCTCGCACTTTGGCTGTGAGCTGCGGGCGCCTGATAAGCCAACATCCCCCACTTTCATCACTTACAGCGCCCATCGTACAGGGCAAATGAAAAGTGTAACTGGGGTGAAAAGGGTGTTACATTTACTTAATTATGAATGTTGTTACATCAAGGCCAAACATTTGGATGAATGCCAACGGTCAAACATGTTTTTCCCCTCCCAGAGCTACCAGCGCAGCGCCCCCCAGATCTGGTGCCAAAAAAATCGGCCCTAGTACATACAGTGGCAATGTCACTGCCTTATGTTCTTTTAGTTTTTCCCGGATGCTGTTTATCCCGCTACTTCAAGAAACCACTTTAACCACTAACTACATCACAGCTCCTACTGCTGGGTAAAAGTGTAATAAAAATGATCTGGAAAGAGGATTAAAACAACAGGATATTAATTGTCCTTTTTGAATTGAAATTCCCTTTGCATAATAATAGCAGAAAAAGAAGAAAATGCTCACTTCTGTACTTTGAGAGGTTTAGTTTAGGAAGATTAAGGTGGTAGTAATCAGCAGCGAATATTCGGTGCGCGCGTGCACGTATTTATCATGTGTAACGTTACTGTTGAAACTGCGGATAAAGCAGCTTTATCATGGCAACTGGACAACAACTAAGCTAAGCTACTACTTACAGCATTCATGGAAACTTTTCATAGTTGTTGTGCCCAAAGTTTCCGTTAGAATTTGTTTTTGCCGGTCAACATGTCCGTTAAAGTTGAAATCTTCCGGACAACATTTGAAAAGTGCCGGTCAAAGGTCTTCTTTGTTATTTATTGAGCTTTAAAACAAATTGATATGATTCGATATTAAACAAACTAATTATAGTAGATTAACTACATTATTCAAAAGTGTACAGTAACTTACAATAACACGGGAATAATACACGGAGCCCTCTCTCCTGACAGCCCGTCAGTATCATGCAGCTCGCTGATCCAGTAATGAGTGACCCGACAGTAAAACTAAACATATCTATAACTAGTTTAGGTAGTTTGAGAGGTAATTAAAATAGCTACGTGTGATATTCTAACCTGAAGTGTGTGTTTTGTCCGCTCACCGCTGCATGTGATTATGCAGAGCTGCGTGTCGACTCGTCAGCAGCAGCTGATCTCTCTCTCCCGTCAGATTAGGCTTTACTCGCGTTTATGTCCATATCGATCAGATCTAGCTATTGAAAGCGATGTCAGGCGCTTTTTTTTTGTATCTTCAAAGTTTTTGCACTTATTGTACGTTTTTTGGGGTTAAAAGGGTCTGCTGAATGAAATGTAATGTAAACATTTATCAAAAGTTTATTGATTTGAGTAGTGAAAGCATTCTTCTGAAATAAATGTAAGCTACAAGAAAAGATTCTAACCAGCCAAGAGTTTTTTTACAAGGACACTTAACTGGTTAAGTCTCTAGTATATTGTTATGGATCCACCTTTGGTGCACTTTCTCCTTGACTTTACGTGTCTACCAGACGATATGTAAACCAGTAAGTATTCAGGATAAAAGCATATATTGAGTGGCGAATTACGTAATTTTGTACCATTTCACCTACTCTCTATCTTCAGGTCAGTACTGCATGCCGGAGGAGGGGGTGAAGCTTACACCACGCGGCCAGCTGCTGTCCACCTCGGAGATTCTGACCCTGGCTCGCCTCTTCGTCCAGGAGGGGGTGGAGAAAATCCGCCTCACTGGAGGAGAGCCCCTCATCAGACCTGATATCCTGGATATCATCGGTACGGAGAAATTGAGTTGAAAGAGTCTTGTTATTTCATCTCATGGAAGGGTGCATTAAACCAGGACATATCAATTATTATTATTATTTTATTGTATTTGGTACAGGCCAGAGATGCACATAAAGAACACGACAGTATGATGAGATGAGACAATAGTCTAAGTGACACAAGGAGAGGAGCAGTAGTGGGTTTTCCATGCATGCCTTAAGGTCAAGTCATACTTGTGGTGAGGAAAATGATTTGTCACAGCACGGCTATGTGCTTAGTCTAAGGACATCATCATTTTACAGCCTCATTTTAATATTAACCATTGTAATTAAGGCGATCAGTTCCTGACAATTGCGCTTGTGTGCGCAACATTAAAGCATGACATTCGTGAACAAAACATGTGTTGTGACCAATGGGCAATGACTATGTAGAAAGGAGACCTAAGGCTTCCTCATGCCCAATAAAGATCATCAATTATCTCTGTCATGTGACAAGCCTCCACTATGACCTTACATGGCCTCACTGTATTCTTTGAAGATGAATAGTGTAGTTTTTTTAATGCAGGCTAGGACTGGACCATGACAGTCATTTTTAATGTCCAGCCGTAATCATGACATAACAAGTGAAATGTTAAGGTTTTGTTAATAAAAGCTTTCTTGCATATTGATCATGAGGTACTGTGCAAAAAAGCAGAAAACTCAATGTACATTCAATCATTCTCTCTTTGACGTAGAGGACATCAACCCATTTTATGCAATGACACTAATATGACTACATTCCCCAAATTGGGTTGCCCATTTCCAAGCTTGTGTCTAAAGTACTCTGTGAGTACAGGTTGATTACAACTAGTGATTTACTTAATAAAGTAGCACCACATCACAAAAATGTCTAGGTAAGACTTAAAGGGTCCCTATTGTGCTCATTTTCAGATTCATAATTATATTTTCAGCCTCTACTGTGACATGTTTACATGCTTTAATGTTCAAAAAGGTCTTCATTTTTCTCATACTGCCTGTGCTGGAGCACCTCTTTTCACCCTCTGTCTGAAACCAGAGCCTAGTCTGCTCTGATTGCATTTTGTAAACCATTCATATAACTGTTATTACTCTTCAATCAAAAGGAGTCATTTATACGTGAATATGACTTTGTGTGATTATATAGCACAACAGTTTTTCTCTCTGTATCTCACTCTCCGTTTTTCCTTTTCCTTGTGCTCATGTGTCTCTCCCTCTACAGCTGAACTGAGGAAGTTGGAGGGCCTGAAAACCATTGCAGTCACAACCAACGGCATGAACCTGGCCAGGCTTCTGCCTAAGCTGAAGGATACCGGTCTTGACCTGATCAACATCAGCCTGGATACACTGGTCCCGGCCAAATTTGAGTTCATTGTCAGGCGGAAAGGTACAGAAATGTGTTTGAGTGTAAGCTTAAACGATTTGAAACTGTAATAGGAGCTAGAAAACCGTTTTTGATGCCCTGCTTCAAAGTAATCTTTAAATTACATTAAGTGTTTGATACTGTACTTAAAGAGGCCCTATTATGCTTATATTCAGGTTCATATTTGTAGTTTGTGCCTCTATTGTGACATGTCTCCATGCTTTAAGGTTCAAAAAGGTTCTCATACTGCCTCTTTTCACCCTCTGTCTGAAACCAGAGCCCAGTCTGCTCTGATTGGTTGGCTGGGCGGTTCTATGGTGATTTGTCAACCGCTTAGAGATGTCCCCTAAGCATATCACATACAATGTGTTGGAGTGGTAGCCAATAGAAGTGCGTTTGTTAAGTAGTGTTTTCACTATGTTACATCAGTAGACTACGAAGTGTGTGTCAGGCAGGGGGGATTGTGTGGAAGAGAAACTCTACAGGAAAATAAAAACCCAAAAAGCATAATAGGGCCCCTTCAAGTATGCCTTAGTGGCTTCAGTTAAGTTGTATTTTTTCTTTGCCTGAATCATGTCTCAATGTAGAATTACCGTTATACTCCAAGAGACTTGTGTTGTTTGGTCCTCAGTTTCCTTGACACAGGGTTCGTACGGTCATTGAAAACCTGGAAAAGTCATGGAAATTCAAAATGCAAATTCCAGGCCCTGGAAAAGTTATGGAAAACAATATTTTTCCCAAAGTTTTGGAAAAGTCATGGAAATGTAACTAAAGTTGCGTCAAATATCATTTACATTTTATCTAATTGCCGAAATAATCTGCGGTCGCGAGCTGTTATGTGCCATCATGACGCGCATGGTGTTATTTTTTAATATATGAAGCGCAAAGTCTTCCTGCCTGTCGGCTGAACTCTGCTGCTCCGGGATGAGGGTCAGCTACATTATCTACGGTGCGTTCGTTAACTGTGCGGAGTCACTGTGGCACAGACTGAGCCGCTGGTGAACAGCTGTTAGAACGGGCCGTTCAGGTGTTCAGTGCAGAGCGGCAGAGCGTGATGTGAACTGAAAAGTTTTTCTGTCGCAATATCATTTAAGGAATCTTTGAGCTAGCTAGCTAGCATACATTGTCACTATCTGCTAACGTTAGCTTTAGCCAGATATTGTACTTGAGTAAAAGTACCAGAGGAATACTCTATCACAGTAAAAGTCCTGCATTCAAAATGTTCCTCAAGTAAAAGTAGAAAAGTTTTATCATCAAAATATAGTGAAAGTAGCGACAGTAAAAGTAGTCATTGTGCAGATTGGTCCATTTCAGAATAATATATATATATATGATATGTTTTGTAATGATTGATCATTAAAGTGTTCTCAAAGCTGGTAAAGGTGCAGCTAGTCTGAAGGACTTTGTGTACTGCAGGGTAGCTTGTGGATTTACTCCAGGTGGAACTAAAGTCTGATTTAACACTTGATTATATTTCACATTATTCATCCACATCTGTAAAGTAACTAAAGGTATTAAATACATGTAGTGGAGGAAAAGTACACATTTTACCTCTGAATTGTAGAGGAGTAGAAGTACAAAGTAGCAAAACATTGAAATACTTAAATAAAGTACAAGTATCTCAAAATTGTACCCACGTATAGTACTTGTTGAGTTTATGAACTTAGTTACTTTACACCAGTGGCTATAAAGATAGAAAGACTAAGCCTTGCACAGAGGCATGAAAATACATTTTCAAAATGCTCAACAGTGCTGCCAAAATTATAAACTGACTGCTACATAATTAAAATAAATGCTTTTATATATTTCTATTAGATGTGACTCTTTAACGTTTCTGTTATTATTACCTGCTGCTTTAGTTGTTCTGACTGCTAAAATCCTGTTATTCCTCATTTTAAAGCCGATATTCCGTGGGGTCGGGGGGCTCGGATCCTTGTCACCTTTTTCATACCTGATGACTTTGCTTCCCTGACTACAGTTGCTTCAGCGTGTAGAAGCTAGTAAGCCTACTATTTGATTTGTTTTAGATAGGCACAACATGTTTCATATGCAGACCTTATTTTCCTGTTCCATGTTCAAATAAACCATTTTTCAGTGGTCATTTTTTTTTGGTCATTGAAAATTAGGTAAAGGTCATTGAGAAGTCATGGAAAATCATTGGTGAAAAAGTGTATGAACGCTGTTGACAACGTATGAGGCTCTTATCTCTAGGATATAAGGAAATATGTGGCACATTAAAGTGTTTGTTCTTCTACTACACCTGATACATTTGTTGGTGACATGTTTTGCGGATTGTAAATCCTGAAATAAACCTGGTCTCCTAACCGTAAGCACACATGTGGTATTTACAGAGGGAGTTACCAGCCAGCGTGACACTGCCATGGTTTGTGCAGATGTAAAATTATGTGTGACTTTTGCCAAAAAAAAGCTCTGACTGCCTCTGGGAATACATGTAGATTTTACATATCAGTGTTTTTTGGCCAATCATGGATTCAGACAGCTTAGAAAAGGAAGCAAACAGTTAACGCTGAAGTATGTTGTAAAGCTCTGCCAAGCGGAAGTAGCCCACATTTGGAGAACATGAATCCATTTGAAGTGTATGTGCTTGTAGTATGGCTCTATACATTTGTATTTAAAATGTCCCTCAATCATACTCCGTCTTTGCCTCGTAGCACAACATTCAAGATATCACAGTAAAACGAATGTGTTCATATAATGATTCATAATTGAATGACGTTTAAACACTCATCCTCAATTTTTATCCATGTTTTTCCTCAAGGGTTCCACAAGGTCATGGAGGGCATTGATAAGGCCATCGAAATGGGCTACAACCCTGTCAAGGTATTTTGTTCATCTTTTTAAAATGTTTTACCTGGGAACAAATGAATATTTTTGCTTAATTTTATTTGTTAAATCATTATTTTTATGTCTTATTTTTAAATCTCAGATCTGCTCAGGCGAAACCTGCTTTACAGGTCTCAGCACTCAAGCCTGCATTAATATAGGCAGGGCCAGTCTATTGATAGCGTGAAGTACAACCGCGTGACTCAGTCATTTTTTACCTTAAAAAGCATTTAAATACCGCATTTCAAATCTGATGAACTCAGTGTGCATCTGGACCCGGTGACGACATTACCTATTGACGCAGCAACCACTGTAAGTTATATTCTTGTTTAATTAGACTTCTCTGTTTCATTTATTCGACTCTGTATAAATTGTTATTGTAGCTTAAACGGCTAAATCGCGTTTGAGAGATTTTAAATCTCAGATCTGCTCAGGCGAAACCTGCTTTACAGGTCTCAGCACTCAAGCCTGCATTAATATAGGCAGGGCCAGTCTATTGATAGCGTGAAGTACAACCGCGTGACTCAGTCATGTTTTACCTTAAAAAGCATTTAAATACCGCATTTAAAATCTGATGAACTCAGTGTGCATCTGGACCCGGTGACGACATTACCTATTGACGCAGCAACCACTGTAAGTTATATTCTTGTTTAATTAGACTTCTCTGTTTCATTTATTCGACTCTGTATAAATTGTTATTGTAGCTTAAACGGCTATATCGCGTTTGAGAGATTTTAAATCTCAGATCTGCTCAGGCGAAACCTGCTTTACAGTTCTCAGCACTCAAGCCTGCATTAATATAGGCAGGGCCAGTCTATTGTCGCCCATCAGCTGTAGATAGTTAACTAATTAGAGGGCCGTGGCCCTACAGCTGTGAGAACTGAGCAATCAGGCGTCCATTTTGGGTAGCTCTTTCCTGGAGCGTCAGCTTCAGCGTCAGACAGCCGAAGACTGACAAAGACATTGGAGTCCTGCGGGAGTAAGACTGACAAAGACATTGGAGTCCTGCGGGAGTCACGAGGGAGGCAAAGAGGAGGCAAATCCTACTCTGATTGAGCTGGTTTCTTATTTCTCTTTTCTTTAGTTTTCTAGCCCCTCATGCTATAATCATGTGTATTTTCTCCATTCCTGTTCATGTGTCTTCTCGCAATTATCACTGGCCCCGTGTATCTCCTAATCGATATAACCGGCCTGCTCTCGTCTATCCCACGTGCTCCACTGATATCCAACATCTAGTTTCTGGTGGCCTGTGGAATTGCCAGTCAGCTGTTCCTAAGGCTGACTTCATCTCTGGCTACGCCTCCCTGCAGTCTCTGGATTTCCTTGCTCTCACTGAGACCTGGATTACTCCATCCAACACATCCACCCCAGCAGCTCTCTCCACTGCATATTCCTTCTCCCATACACCCAGACCCACTGGCAGAGGAGGTGGCACTGGTCTCCTGCTCTCTCCCAAATGGAGCTTTTCCCTCTTCAAGCTACCTAACTTCACTCCTTCCACCTTTGAATTCCATGCCGTCACAGTAACCCATCCTATTCAGTTAACCATTGTTGTTCTCTACCGTCCACCAGGCGCCTTGGGGGACTTCTTGGAGGAATTAGATAATCTCCTCTCACTCATCCCTGAAACTGGCCCTCCCGCTGTCAGTGCATGACATTAAGGATTTTGGGAGATGGCCCTATGGGCCATCTAAGCTAATTTACAGATGGCCCTGAGCCCAATAGAGATTGCCCTGAAAAATGCGCGCGGACGAAATGGCACGAAGGGTTTGGGGGGCCTCCGTCCCCCTAGAAAATTTAGATTTTTGCAGGTCTTAGATGCTGTCTGGTGCATTCTCTAGACTGAATTATAAGATGAACCACCACAATATTGTATTGTACAATTTCAATTTTATTCTTCATTTCACTTGTTTGTTCTTGTTTGTGTTTGCTCGCTTGCATGCCCTGCATAGCTATAAGAAACACTTAAGTTGTTGGTCAAGACACTTTCCATCTGATGAAGGCAAATGCCTTCTCAGATGTAAAAAAGTAGAAAACATTACATTCAGTTATTAATGCCAAAACAAACATTATTTACACTAGTATGGCCCCTGTTAAAAATGTTTGTAATGTTATCTACTGTAAGTTGGTCGAACGAATGCCTCCTCATCCGGAAGCTGACCGAGCAGACCCGAGCAGCAGTCCAGAGGAGCCGAGCGCATCCGCGAAGCACACAAAATGGCGACGTCATAGTTCCCATTAGCCGGCAAATCTAAATGTCCGGTCAAAATAATTTCCCTTTAGCGCAATACCGCTTCAGTTGCGCAACTTATGTGACAGACAAAAGAGTATGTGACAGACGAGAATAGTCAATTCTAATGTCTAACACGTAATGTGGAGAAAGAGATGTCCTGTGTGGGTTGATTGTGCGTTGATCTGTTGGTAATGCCTCGGGGTTCCGGTGGGCATGTAAACAAATACATAATGCTGCGCTATACTTTGTGGCCTCACCCAGTTGCATAGCGACACTTATTGTGTAGGTGTCTTTTAATAAACAGGTAGTCATATCATTAGCTAGAACTAGCTGAATCTGATCGATATGGACATAAACGCGAGTGAAGTCTAATCTGACGGGAGAGAGAGATCAGCTGAGCAGGCTGACGAGTGGACACGCAGCTCTGCATGATCACATGCAGCGGTGAGCGGACAAAACACACACTTCAGGTTAGAATATCACACGTAGCTATTTTAATTACCTCTCAAACTACCTAAACTAGTTATAGATATGTTTAGTTTTACTGTCGGGTCACTCATTACTGGATCCGCAAGCTGCATGATACTGGCACAATAGATTGCCCGATCGGGCAACCAGCAGGTGAGGCTTCATTGCCCGAGCTAAATACTAGATGGCCCCGGGCCATCGGGCAGTCCTTAATGTCGAGCCCTGCGCTGTACTTCTCGGAGACTTCAACCTCCAGACGGGGAAGATAGACGAACTAACATCTCTGTTAACTGCCTTTGCTTTCTCACTGTCTCCGTCCCCACCGACTCATAAAGCTGGCAATGTCCTTGATCTCATATTCTCAAGGAACTGCGCTACTTCTAACCTCTCTGTAAACCCGCTCCACATATCCGATCACTTCTTCATTTCATTCTCTCTATCCCTTTCCAAACATAACAAACTAATCTCTTCCCATCCTGCACTTGTCCGCCGTAACCTTCGCTCCCTCTCCCCCTCTACCTTTGCCTCGTCGGTGCTCTCAGCCCTCCCTTCCTCTGATTCGTTCCAACTCCTGCCTCCAAACTCTGCTGCAGAAACTCTCCTCTCTACTCTCTCATCCACTCTGGACTCGCTCTGTCCTCTCACATCTCGGCAGGCTCGTCAGTCCCCTCCTGCTCCCTGGCTAAATTATGCACTGCGTGCTAATAGAACCGTCCTTAGGGCAGCAGAGCGGAAATGGTGGAAATCCAAACACCGTGACGACCTCCTAACCTATCAAGCTCTCCTCTCCTCTTTCTCTGCTTCGATCTCTCAGGCAAAAAGCACTTTCTTTCAAATAAGAAGATCCAATCTTCCTATTCCAATCCTAAAAAACTATTTTCCATCTTCTCCACCCTCTTGGACCCTCCAAAAGCTCCTCCCCCCTCCTCACTTCTGTCAAGCGACTTTGTTACCCACTTTGAAAAAAAGGTTGATGATATTCGCTCTTCTTTTTCTGACTCACCTTTACTCACCGCTGGGTCACCAGACCCTCCTTCCACCAACACACTTACCTCCTTTTCCCCTCTCTCTCCAAGTGAGGTTCTTACCCTCATTACCTCTGCCCGCCCTACCACCTGTCCTCTGGACCCTATCCCTTCAAACCTCCTTCAGACTATCGCTCCTGATATTCTACCGTTTCTCACCCATTTCATCAACACTTCTCTAACTTCTGGTCACTTTCCAAACAGTCTCAAGGAGGCAAGAGTAAACCCTCTCCTAAAGAAACCCACTCTCAACCCATCTGATGTTATAACCTACAGGCCTGTCTCTCTCCTCCCGTTCCTGTCTAAATCACTTGAACGCGCTGTCTTTAAACAACTCTCCTGTTATCTCAATCAGAACAACCTTCTGGATCCGCACCAGTCTGGTTTCAAGGCAGGTCACTCCACAGAAACTGCTCTCATTGCTGTCACGGAGGAACTGCACACTGCCAAAACTGCATCCCTCTCCTCTGTCATCATCCTGTTGGACCTGTCTGCTGCATTCGACACGGTGAATCATCAGATCCTCCTTCGCACTCTCCAAAAACTTGGAGTTTCAGGCTCTGCACTTTCCCTCCTCACCTCATACCTGAAAGACCGTACCTACAGGGTGACTTGGAGAAGGTCTGAGTCCGACCCTTGTAAATTAACTACGGGGGTCCCTCAGGGCTCTGTTCTTGGTCCCCTCCTCTTCTCCCTGTACACAAACTCGCTCGGATCAGTCATTAGCCCGCATGGTTTTTCTTACCACTGCTACGCTGATGACACCCAATTAATTCTGTCCTTTCCCCGCTCAGAGACCCAGGTCGTTGCACGCATCTCTGCTTGTCTAGCTGACATCTCTCAGTGGATGTCTGCTCACCACCTCAAGCTCAACCTTGACAAGACTGAGCTGCTCTTCCTCCCGGGAAAAGATTGTCCCACTCTTGACCTAACAATCAACATCGGCACCTCAGTTGTTTCCCCGACTCAGACTGCAAGGAATCTGGGTGTGACCCTAGATAACAACCTGTCCTTCACTGCAAACATCGCTGCTACAACCCGTTGCTGCAGATACACGCTTTACAACATCAGGAAGATACGTCCCCAGCTGACTCAGAAAGCGACTCAGGTTCTGGTCCAGGCTCTCGTCATCTCACGCCTAGACTACTGCAACTCCCTCCTGGCTGGTCTACCTGCATGTGCCATCCGACCTCTGCAGCTCATCCAGAATGCAGCGGCTCGTCTGGTCTTCAACCTTCCTAAATTCTCCCACACCACTCCGCTCCTCCGCTCCCTTCACTGGCTTCCGGTAACTGCTAGAATCCACTTCAAGACACTGGTACTTGCTTACCATGCTGCGAATGGATCTGGCCCTTCCTACATCCAGGACATGGTTAAACCGTACACCCCAGCGCGTGCACTACGCTCTGCATCAGCCAAACGACTCGTTGCGCCCTCGCTGCGAGGGGGACCCAAGTTCCCATCGGCGAAAACACGTGGGTTTGCTGTCCTGGCTCCAAGATGGTGGAATGAGCTCCCCATTGACATCAGGACGGCAGATAGCTTGCACATCTTCCGGCGCAAACTGAAAACTCATCTCTTTCGACTCCACTTCGAGCGTTAGAACTATTAACGAATCACTTTTTTATACTAATAAAGGACTGGCTTACCTAAAGCCAGTTGAGTAGCACTTGAAATGTTTGGCTCTATGAAACCTGATGTACTTATATGATTCTGTTTTCTTCAAGGTTGTGTCTTCCTGGTCGAATGTACTTATTGTAAGTCGCTTTGGATAAAAGCGTCAGCTAAATGCAATGTAATGTAATGTCTTCAAAAATCTTGTTTATGTTTGATTTGCTGTGTTTTTGTTCTACATTGTGACTTTTTTTACAAAAATGTTTACACAAACAAATTAATGTCTAATATAGTAACATTTTTTATATTTCCTTAACATTTTAAATCCTTCTTTTCATGTCTCTGTTTGAGAAAATATTTGTATGTTTTAATCTTCCTATTTCTTGCATCTTTTTTACGTGTGATTTTAATTACATTATTTGTGTCATTTAAAATGAACAATATTTACAGGAAACAAATGTATGGTTACTGAATCATACGTTTTGGAAATAATATGGTTCGATACTCATAAATATGATCAGGAACTATTTTCAGTGATACATTTACCATGTTGTATTTGGACCTCTTGTTGTCTCTTAATAATCTGATAACTTTTTTGAATGCTTCAACTATGTTTCCTCTCACTAACTCTTAATGCCAAAGTGCTGTGGCAGCACAGTGTCGTAACAATATGTGACCCGCTCTATCGAAATCAGTCGGAAGTCGCAACGGCTCATTTAAAAAATAAACGTGGATTTGTGTAAACAAATGGTTTTTCGGGGTTTGGGTGTTTTGTTTGATTTTAAATAAACAAAGTGTTGGCTTTCAGAATATGAAACTTTTATTTCCAAAATAACTCGATAAATACATGTTTGAAGCTTGTAAAGGGAAGATGACAGCTCTCACTCAAGCTCTGCTGTTCCGCAGCGCTGCTTCCCCTCCCTCCGGCTGAAATTGTGAATGTAAGGCGTATAGTAATCATAGATAACACGGCAGGGTCCGTTACAGTTTGTTTTCATCTGATTTCAAATAAACAAAGTCTTGGCTTTTAGAATATTAAACTTGTTTCGGCAAATTCAGATGATAAATACACTTTGAAGCTTGTAACGGCATAATTACAAGCGGAGAACGGAGTAACTTGACGTCACAGCAGGCATAACAACAGCCGGTGTTTCTCACGGGTGTTTTCCCCGGGAAACAAACACCACACACACACGCAAAAATACAAAAACACACACGTATACATACACACACACACACACACACACACACTCGCGAGCTTCCCCCAGACCAGTAATCCAAACGAAAATATCTTCCCTCCGTAGTATTTTGATCCTTTGCTCCGCTAATAATCAATCAGATCGATGGTTTCCAGAGAAGAGGAAACTTTGAAGGCCTTTTTCTCAAAATGATGACTCGGTAACAGTCATTATATAATGTGACATATTTTGCTTAATATTTGGAGTACAAAAACAATCCTGATATCATTAGAAAGCTAGGAATCTCCTCTTTCCAACAGTGTATACAACTCAAAATGTGTCTTCGGGTCAATGCTGAATATAATATTTCCTCCATATCCTAACACTTGCCCTCAAAGGTTAGAAAGTCATTGAGCTGCTCCCTGATTTGCTGTCTGTGTCTAATGCTACCTACCATAGTTCCCTACTGCACTGTGACTGGAAGAAAGAGAAACAAACTAATAAACAAATGCCCCCTGCAGGTTAACTGTGTGGTGATGCGAGGCCTCAACGAGGATGAGCTGCTAGATTTTGTGGCGCTGACAGAGAAGAAGCCTTTGGATGTGCGCTTCATTGAATACATGCCCTTCGATGGTGAGTGCTCCCTTCCCACAATGTCTTGTTACGCAGGTCTGAAAACTGAAGAGTCATATTACAGTCATAGTTTAGACATTCAAAGTTGGGATGTATGATCTGAGCACAGATACAGTAGGTGGCAGTATGCACCTTTCAAGCTGGTTTGAAAACTGCCAATAAACAAAGATAAAAAACAAGTGCAGCCCAAGACCCCAGGAAATAGCAGCCAAACCATGGATGTATAAAGAGAACAACGTTGGAGGGGGGACCTCGCTCATTCCTATGAAGGTTGCTCAATTGCACATTAAGCCAAATTGGCCTGCCCCTCGAGAGCAAAAGTACCCGTATCCGGGCCCATAGAGCGTGCACGGTTGGGTTTTCAGATGAATGAAGAGGTAAAAGAACTCTGCATTCAGCTTTTAGCACACTTTACCACTTGTACACCCTATTGAAGAAATAAGGGCAACACATGTGTTCGTAGTGGGTAATACATTTTGTTTAAAAAAATGATCTGCTGATTTACAGACAGCGGTCATTTGTTTCAACGTCCTGCACACTTCCTCAGGGCTTGGGCCAAAAGGTGGTACTACAACTTCGTCTGTAAATCAGCAGATACTAAATCAACCACCCATTGTTAACATGTCTCTTCAGTTCAACTTGCAGAAACTGATGTACTACTACACACACATAGGTTGATATATTCAGGGGTGCACATAACTTTCTCAGTGAGGTACTCAGATGAGTACCTGGAGTCAGTGTTTGGTACTCCAACTTCTGGCTCCACTCAAAGTTATTTGATGAAGCCCTCTGTATCGCCAACGTCAACGGGGGGGGCTAGTGGAGTAATTTGTGACCACAGAGCGTGAACGCTGTGATCAGCTGTTTTAGCGCAGTTCTCCAGTGAAGGGGAGGAGTCTCCCTCCGCAGCCGGTTGGCATAGTTTTGGCACAATTCCGTTGTACAGACCGACGTTAACAGCAGCCTTGTCTGTGCACACGGAGACCGACTCTGTCGTCCGGTGATCTAACCGCCTTCTGGAAAAGCTTCACAAGTACGTCGGTACGCAAATGCGCTTTGTGACACAAGTGACGGTATGCATTTCAGATTGTTGCCGCACATGCGTACCTGCGTACCAGTTATGTGCACCCCTGGTTATATTGCCTAGGAGCTGAATTGTGCTGTAGCTTGTGCTACAATCTACATGACTTGCTTCTCTCCTGTCTGCAGGAAACAAGTGGAACTTTAAGAAGATGGTGAGTTACCAGGAGATGCTGGACCACATCAGGCAGCAGTGGCCCAACCTGGAAAGGCTTGAAACCGGACACACAGAAACAGCCAAGGTCAATACCTCAAACTGCACTTAATATTTCTCAAGTATAAATGTTATGGCTTATTAAAAGCTAATGTACTTTCTTGCTGTTTGTGTCCTAATGGTTGCTTCCACTTATTATTAAACTCTTTGGATAAACACGTCAGCTTAATGAAATATAATGTGTTGATCAATTAGTGAGTATCCATAAAAAGCAATGATGCTATTACCATTCAATCCTGTTGAGGTTATTGACTGTGGACATTGTTCTTACTTCTGGCACTTTGAATCGTTCTAAATGACTTGAATGTTAGTTTAACTCTAATCTTTCAGCACACATCTGTGTTGCTGGAGTCATTAGTTTATAATAAGTTGGCCAATGAAAAACTGAAATACAAGAGAAAATCAATATCTTCTGACACATCTTATCAAAGCAATTTGCCAAATCAATCATTTTGTTATTAAATGCGCCACATTATTCTTTTTCTAGGATAATTGTTTGACCCTTATTTATGTCTTGTTACAGACATTTAAGGTCCCAGGCTTCAAAGGGCAGGTGGGCTTCATCACCTCCATGTCTGACCATTTCTGCGGCTCCTGCAACCGCTTACGTATCACTGCAGACGGCAACCTGAAGGTAAAGCTACAGTTGGGCTTCTAGAAGTATTAATGTGGTCTGATTTAGTATTAATATTTTGTAATGCAGTATTTGTATTGGTAAACCTACACATTTACATATTGTTAATGATCCCATCGTTTCTTTGGAACCTTTATTGATTCTATTTGAAATGTCTTCGCTTCACTCCTTCTTACCTTTCTCCTCTCAGGTGTGTTTGTTTGGGAACACTGAGGTGTCTCTGAGAGATGTGCTGCGCTCCGGAGTATCGGAAGAAGAGCTACTGCAAATCGTTGGAGCTGCTGTTGGCAGGAAGAAGAAACAACATGCAGGTAGACTTGTGTTCGTTTGAGTTCATTTATAGTAAACGCATCACTGTGGAGTGTAAACCCCTAAAAAGCATTTTTGCACTTTCGGTTCACTCGTCTCAAAGTCAATGGGTTTTTGGTTAGCCTGAAATAAGGTCTGTGGTTTATAAAGGTTTGAGAGATGTTCACGTTTACTTATTCGCTCAGTAAATACCACACTTTTACCCCAAATGTTCAAGTCAAGTCAAAGTCAACTTTATTGTCAATCTTCCAGTTTGTGTGTACAGACAGAGAGATCGAAATACTGTTTCTCACAATCCCGAAGATAAAAACAAATGTATATAGAATATGAAAATACAAATATTTGTGCGAATATGTATGTATGTATATACACAGTCAAAGACGCATTTTTACATGTGCACATATTAAGACCTAAATAAAAACACAACAATCAATATATACAAAATAACAGTCACTTCAATATTTTGAGAATGTACATTAGTGCAGATTGTCCATCGAATAAAACAAACAAGCAAATGCTAACAAGTGGCTAACCGTCATCATGCTAAACATGATCGTTATCGGCCGATATTCCCTCTCTGCCGATCGATCGGTGCTCTCTATAAAGGCCGATCAGGAGAGCCGATCACATGACGTAAAATACATGACACTTTTCTCTGTGCACGGCAAAACAAGCTCGCCAAAATGGCTTCACCGGTCTGGCAGTATTTTAAGGTGTCCAAAAATTACAATATAATAGCGTTATGCAACGAGTGTGAAGCAGAAATCCTGCAGCTCCACCCGCTGTGACGGACCGGTGAGCGGAGCGAAACACACACTAAGAGTTAGACCTAACACACTTAGCTATTTTATCTACCTCTGGAACAAGCTAAACTAGTTATAAATATATTTATTCTTCACTGTCGGGTCACTCATTACTGGATCAGTGAGCTGCATGAGATACTGACAGGAGAGAGAGGAAAAGAGAGCGCTTCTACTAATTTCTCCCATGTTATTATCCAAAGTTAATGTAAACTTGAATAATGCACTTCATTTGAATGTAATAATTATGTTGGTTGTTGTTTGTGGAAGCGCCAATGAATGAGCCCCATTAACTGAGTTTTAAACATCACTTTAAATGGAAGATCCCCATAGGCCCCGCCCACTCGAACGGATCGGCGATCGGTATCGGCCGATACTGATTCCGGCCCCAAAATTGCCGATCGGAGCATCCCTACTAAACACTATTCCTCATGTAGCTTAGATCTGGTGACATTTCTCTGTAGCCTAACGTTAGCTTTTGACTTCTGTTAATTGCTTTGAGCTTCAGAGGAAGGTCATTTGTGAAGATTATTTTTGCTGAACAAAGCATGTAGAGCGTTTTTTCTCAATCACCCAAAAATCATAATGGCCTTTTGTGAAGGCAAGGCAAGTTTATTTATATAGCACCTTTCAACACAAGGCAATTCAAAGTGCTTTACAAAAAATGAAAGACATTAAGAAAATGGCATTTAAAATCAGTCATTAAAAAGAAAAGATAATAAAAGAAACATTAAAAGAAAAAATACATGGATAAAAGTTACAGTGCAGTCTAAGATATGAATAGTTCAATTAAAAGCAGCGACAAAAATAAAAGTGTTCAGTCTGGATTTAAAAGTAGTCAGAGTTGCAGCGGACCTGCAGGTTTCTGGGAGTTTATTCCAGATATTTGGAGCATAATAACTGAACGCTGCTTTACCATGTTTAGTTCTGACTCTGGGGACAGAAAGCTGACCAGTCCCTGAAGACCTGAGAGATCTGGATGGTTCATAATTTAGCAGGAGGTCAGAAATGTATTTTGGGCCTAAACCATTCAGTGCTTTATAAACCAGCAGCAGTATTTTTGAAATCTATTCTTTGACACACAGGAAGCCAGTGTAAAGACTTCAGAACAGGAGTGATGTGATCCACTTTCTTAGTGTTAGTGAGGACTCAAGCAGCAGCGTTCTGAATCAGCTGCAGCTTTCTAATAGATTTTTTAGTGAGACCTGTGAAGACACCATTGCAGTTGTCCAGTCTACTGAAGATAAAAGCATGGACAAGTTTTTCCAAATCCTGCTGTGACATTAGTCTTTTAATCCTAGATATATTCTTTAGGTGATAGCAGGCTGATTTAGTAACTGAAGGGAAACAACGCAAAGGAAATGTCCAAATGAGTCACCCCTGCGGCACTCTTTAATCTCATAATATCAAGGATCATTTGTTCTACTTGAATTTTTATCTCTTCCTGTTTGTCTCCTCAGGCATGTACAATATTTCCCAGATGAAGAACAGGCCTATGATCCTCATTGGTGGGTGACATGGCTGTACGTACCAATCTCTGAGACACTCTGCTTAGTCGTGACTTATTTGTGATTTTAATATACTAATGGGTTACACCACTATAGCTGTCCTGCATATCATACAGATTTCAACATTTACATTTGAATTTATAACAAAAGAACACTTTTATCTGAACTGTGAATGTTTGTTGTGTTTGGTGACTCTGTCTCCTTGACTAACATCCTCTTTTTCCAACAGACACTACATCTGAAAGGCATTTGTCTCTGCCAAAGTCTCAAGACAAAACGACATCTTCCCCCATAGTTTCCCATTATACAAACGACACATTCCTCTCTCCAACAGCGGCTCCTCACAGGAGAGTCCTGAATAGAGAGGTTTTTTTTTGCCTTCCAGACTGCACTGCTTCAACACAGGCAGCCCATCTTTGCTGCCTTAGAACCTTAACGAGTGGGGGTACCGGTGTTACGTCGCATATCAACACAAATACACGCACAAATGTCAGGAGTTACATTAATGAAGGCTGTCTCAGGTACGCACAAGCCAGTGGTCACAATGCTTTGAAGAGCCACTTACTCAGGCCCCCAGGAACACCCACTTGTTGCACATTACTCATGAATGCCAAAATTAATCTTAAACAACACAATGTAAGACTTTGCCACAATCAATGCTCTAGCAAAGACCCCAGTGTCAAACTCAGACAATCTGTGAGTGATCAGACACAGTCGGGCATAAATGTCTATAACACTGAGCTGGATGAAGCCCAGCTAACGCATACAGACACACAGGGCCGAGCCAACATGGTGGATGTTGGGGGGAAAGTTCCCACACGTCGAACAGCCACAGCCCGCGCCACCGTCATCCTGGGCCCCACTGCTTTCCGGCTGCTTCGGGATAACCAGCTGGCTAAGGGTGACGCCTTGGCTGTGGCGCAGCTGTCTGGCATCATGGCTTCCAAGCACACCTCAGCCCTCATCCCGCTCTGCCACCCCCTCCCCTTAGACCACGCCTCTGTCACCTTCGACCTGGACGAGCAGCAGAATGCAGCGGTCATCACAGCAACGTGTCGCACTACGGGCAAGACCGGAGTGGAGATGGAGGCCCTGACAGCCGTTTCCGTTGCTGCGCTGACCATCTATGACATGTGCAAGGCAGTGAGCCATGACATCATCATCACTGATGTGAAACTGGTCAGCAAGACAGGAGGGAAGAGGGACTTTCATCGTCATCCCTGACTTAGTCCCTCCACTGACTGCATCAATCTTCACTGGCGTTGTAATATTTTTCTACAAAAATGAAATGTATGCCATCGTAATAATTAAAAAAGATATGCTCTAATCACATGAAGTTCTACACACATTCTACCAGTAGTTAGCTTGATTTTCATCTCCACTAACATTGTACCAAGATTAAATGACTTGATCTCTCACTAATCCCATACATTATGAATCATGGTATCTAAACAGTATATGTTTAATTTAAACTAGAAGGTCTTAATTATTATTATAAGTGTTAATATTTATTTCCTGTTAGACATTCAACCAGGTGCAAGTGAAGAGCTTAAAACAGTTGGTCACTAGAGGGCACTCAAGATTCACAGGCCTCCCTGTTGGAACAAACTGAGGGCGACCCTATTGTATTCACATTTTGAATGTATTCCTCTTTTATTTAACTACATAAACTTGAGTGATTTAAAAAAAGAGGGAAGCCTGGGTGCGGGTCCGGGGGTTGCTTTCATTGCTAGTGGACTAAAACGGCGGATAAACTGGCGCGCTTACACTAATTGCGCCGCATAAGCGTATAATAGTGTGCCGCATTTGCGCTTCAGATGAGGAGGTGAGGCCCCCTCATAACTGCATGAACCCGTATGGCACAATACAACTCAGACTGGCTTACCTGTACGTCAATCAAGTGGCAAATGCCATAGTAAGGATGGATGATAGGCTAACTTAAAATAAAAAAAAAGAAATGTTTTTTTTTTCTTTCTTTTTTTCCCCAATGCCTTGCGATCGACGTATTGAGCACCCCTGAGTCTATTACATTCATTATACTACATGATTGTGTTGTGTTATATTTACCCTCGAAAGAAACTCATTGATTATGTTTGTTGATTTGATGGTAGCACAAAATGTGTAATTCAACTGCCTGCAGTCCTGCACAACAACAGATGCAGCCTTTATGTATTATGTTTCATATTCATGTTGTCAGTTCTAATGTTAGTATGATCATCACTAGTCGACCCAAGTTATACAGGTTATAGCTTTTGTATGATGGCAAATAGTTGATTGTATTATTCGCTCTGCTTTCAGCTCACTTCATTGCACTGCTTTTTATTTCCATAAGTGAAAGCAAGCTGTGAGATGCTTGGGACACATTTATTTTCCTTAGAGAAATTAAAGTATTCTTTAATCTTTTTCCTGCTATGTCCATTGTGGTTTAATTAAAGAAAATTGAAAAAAGGGGTTTATCTTTTAAACAATTTTTTTCAGGTCAAAAATGTATTTTCAAATTTCAGTTCAAAAATTGCATTTGATTAAGTCAACAGTTACTACGGTATTACAATCAGACACATACTATTGATTACATTACGATGTTAATATATGGGCGCCTCCAATGTCACATACAACTTCAGTGTACAAAAGAGATTTTGAATTATTTTCTGAGTAGATTTCATTCATTTCATTTACTTTTATAAAAAAGGAACTGCAAAACATAAACGTTCAGCTGCACGTTGCATCATACAGTACAGGCTGAATGATCAGCAGCAAAAAGATAACTTGCTGTGTAACTTAGTCACCAGCACTTACAATGATATGGCTTGCTTGAAGTGAATATATCTGCACTTTCCTTGTTGGTCGGAGTTTGAATCTTTATTCAGCTAAATGTAATGTAGTGAGTCACTGCCCCTCAGTGGTGACAGTGAGGAACTACAACACATCATTCAGAGGAAATGTACACTTTAATGTTTATCATAATTATTCTTATAACGACTGCATCACTATTATTAATAAAGATTTAAGAACTTATGTTGAAAGCATTTGTGATCCATTTCCAGAGGGTTTTTCACGTGGAAAAGAATACATCAGTTTGCAAGTAAGAATTACTTTTATTATCAATAAATCAACCTTTTATATCGTTCAAGCGGTGAACATTTGGTCTTTAAAAGTTCTGAAAAATATATAATTTAAAAGGTACAATGAAAATATTAAAGTATTTCAAAATATTTTAAATGGTTGTAGAATAATTCCTGTCAACGGGAAATGAATAGACTCATAACAACAGAACTATTGTAAATTATTGCACAACTTTGGAGCATGACACATTCATATTGAACTAAACAGTGTAAGCATGTAGAAATCATTCTCACAATCAGTTGCAAGGGACAAAGGTTTATTGTAACCCTACAAAAGGACCAGGGTAACAAAAAAACAAAACGAAAATAATAGAAATGGAAGAGAAAATAAAATAATTCTCATACGTCATCCTTATGTCTTAAAACTATACACGGACCACAGTTTAATTATTCATATTTTTAATATAACAATTTTGTCGTAATGTTGTGTGGACATACAAAATATAGCAAACTAAATAAGGCAAATAAATAGCGGTACGATTTACAGGAAAATTGAACATTCCTCAATGTTTTAATTATTTTTTTATTACCTTATCTCAAACATCAAGAATGGTGTACAAAATGCTTTTTCCACTTCTGTACATCTTTCGGTGGAGGATACCTTTTCTTTCCAACCTTAAAAATACTGACTGCTCACAATCATACAACATCTGAAACTGGGTGCATTTTTCTCAGGCAGTACAAATTGTTGTGTAACAGGTGTGTATCATATTGCAAGCAATATTCTAATAAAGTCAACACATCACACTTTGTGCACCCTTCTTTAGGCATGCAGGTCAACGCCAAGTGCATGATTTGACAGAAATGTGGCGGTGTCAGAAACACACTTTTATTTTTACAGGTGACCCAGACTGGTGGGGGTTAAAAACTCTGTTAATGCAGCGGAGTCCAAACCTCACTTGCCCCTTTTCTCTTCTTCACACCATGCTTTTTTGCACCACTCTTTCGTTGCACCCCTCTCATATTTAAAAAAGGGCTCTAAGTCCTCAAATTAGTGCTGCAAATTAAAATGTCCCCTGACAAAAGTGCATTGAACAAGCTACTAATTTCATTCCTTTTCCATCTGTACACTCCGAAATCAGCCAGTCAATGGCCGAATAAACATCCAAGCATGTAACAACATAATCCTAATAATACTGAAAATATTACAATACCCCTCAGTAAATAGTCTGCACTACAAAACGTGTTAAAGCTCTGGATTAAGAGTTTAAAGGGGCTGCCAAAGTCTGATATACCAACCCTGGTTTACTGGAAAGACAAAAGAGCAGAGGTTAAGAAATCGAGTAGCTCAAATATACATGAGATGCTGGTTAGAGAATAAGCAACCATATGTCATTTTCCCCTTAGGACTTTTCAAAGTGTCTGATTTTATTCTATTTGGATTTCTGGTTATCCTCTAAAGTGTGGGACAAAGGAACTTAAAGATCCTCTCTGCTCTCTCTTTGTCCTTTAACCTCATAATAGCATCACTCTGTAAAAAAAACCAAAGGACATGGTAGGAGTAGGTTTCTCTGCAATGTGACTGATACAGGATGGAATAAATAAACGTTTAAGGAAAAAGGGATTTCTCTCTACAGGTAGTATGTCGAACATCTCTAATCACATGGCAGCCATAGTGTAGTACACCTGCCGGACTTTAATAGAGGGAACTTTGGTGAGCTTAAGCCTAGAGCTTGGAACAATTGCCTATGGAAGAGTATTAAGGCCAGGTAAAAGGTGGAAATAATCCATGTTGTTTTTAAGAATTAAGTTGAGAATAGAGTCAAAATACAGAGAATAGTTTTGAAATATTTAGGATCAAGTTGTTGAGAATGGAGTCAAAATTAAAGAAGGTTAAACTTGTCAGAATAAATCTACTCAACTAATTTGCACCTACGCAATGTTCGATTTTATTCTCTAAAGGCAAGACAAATACAAATAATGTCCTGCTGACTAATGCCTGGCCCTTATACTCTTCAGAAGAGTCGCATAATGTTATCACTTTGGAGAGCTGCTATTTGATGTTTGAGACGTCAGGTGGAACATGAAAGTGCACATCTGAGGCCACAAGATGGCGCCAATTAGTCCGATTCCAACTGTCGGCTAGCAAACACTGTATTATTTTGGAAAGCCACAAGCACTAAAACACAATGATAGGAATGGTACATGTGTGAAAACAGGTGAGAGGCACTTCAAGGTGAAAATAAAAACAAAACAGAAAAGCTGGCAAAATGAATGAGAGACAAAACTGGGATAGCTCTATATATAGATGCTCAATAATTCATTGGAAATGTCTTTTTTTGTGTATTTTAACACTACTGTTAATACACAAAGTGCTTATTGAGACAAGTGCAATTAAATAGTTTCTTATTTAAAGTGATACAAAGGATCTTCAATATGAGCTATTTGTGTTTAACTGTAACTATGAGAACAACCATGTAAATACAACCCCTTTCCAACTGATCCTGGAGCTATTGTGCAAATGCTTTGGCGCAACAGCTCCGGGATCTTACCATAATAAGGACACATGCCAAACAGAGGAAAATTAAATACGGGATGTGTCCTTTATCTTTTTATCATCTCCAAAGAAGACCAAGTCCAATTTTCCCAATGTACCGTTGGACATTACACAAAGCCCTACGCTGTGCTGCAGTAACCATGCAATGCAGATGGAATAACTCAAATGGGTTGCAGCCATGCCTACTGCCATGCCTACTGCCATCTACGGAGGAGGATGAGGGCCACATGTGAATGTATTTTTGGATCTTACCAAAAGTGATTTATTTTTTCTTTGAGCTCTGAAAAATCTGAATTCTCAATTCTGACTTTTTTCTCCACATTTCTCACTATATTCTCTGAAAACACTTGTGGCCCTAATCATCTTCCATATTAACAATTTAGAAATGCATATACAAATAATAAAAGAATGAATACGGTAACAACTTAAAGAAAAGAGACCTAGGTTGGCAACAGGATGTGGACTCTTGTTTGGCAACATGTTGCCCATAGTAACAGGGACTGAAACATCTGAGAGAAGATGGAAGGAAAGATGGAAGTAAGGATTGTTTTCTATGACGCTCTCTGAGGCGCTAGAAGTGCTTTGTTGTACCCTGACTTACGTTGTAGACTGATCAAATGGTTTATCTGACATTACTATGCCAATTTAAATAAAAATCCACATAAATACTGCATTATAAGCCTTAAACCAAGTAACTGTACGAAGGACCAGAAGGGCTATTCTTTTTGTAATGGCGTCTCATGCCACAAGACACAAGCTAGTTTTCTCGGGATAACTGATTACTGTAGGTCAATTCCCAGGAGAACAAAGGCGGATTTGTTGAGATAATAAGATCACAAGTTTTTCAGAATCTCACAATAATTATGTAATTTAAAAAAAAGGAGTGTCTTGTTCACACATGGTTTTAGCCTTTGGTCACAGATGATTTAAAACTGAAAAGTAACTACTTTTGTATTGGTCCTCTCCTGATATGACTATGGGTTATGTGAATATTATGTCTTTCAAAAAGACACAACTCCGTTTTCAGTTTGATTGAACCACAATCTGATGCGTCCATTAATATTAGGTATTCCATGATCTGACTTTGTAAGCTTAAATCAGTTGCTTTCATTGTCGCGTCGTCATATATGTATTGTACTCCTGATCCCATAAACATACATTTTAAAGTAAAATAACGTTTAATTTTCTTGTGATAACGGGTTGATTATCTGGAGATAGCAAAGCTTGTTTTTTCTCGATATGGCGAAAAATGTAACTTGTGATTTCACGAGAACGCATCAGAAAACAAAAATGGCAATTCCAGCTTTGTTGGCCTCCGTACTAACCCAGTGATCAAGCACTAGTTTAACTTAAGAAACCCTAAACTGCAGATCTAAATTCATACATGGCATTCCTTCATCATCTTTGTTCTAGGGGAAGGTAATTGAAGTACAGAGAGGACCCTGTAGATCGGCTCATGGAGTGTAAAGTTGGTCAGAAAAGCTACAGTGCAAACAAGACATACAGGTGTGAAAAGGACAAGCAATTATCTTTTTTTTTACATAAAGCGCAAAATGTATAGAAATTCACTTTAACAGCAATGTGAACTTGCAACACCAACAAATAATGCATTGCGTGTACAAAACCCCAAAATGCCATGAAAACATAAAAAAAACCTCTACATCTTTGCAATTAGCTTGTCTGCATCTAAATATAAATATATATCAACGCCTAATTGCAGTATGTTTTCTATTAATACATGTACATTTGTTTTGCTTTGGCACGGGTTAATGCCAGAACAATGTCAAAAACAGTTAGGAGTGTAGGTGAGGATTGACCCTTGTGGCACAGTCATCACTTTTTAGTTTTTCCTTGAACAGAGTATCCTCTTAAAGTCGAAGCTTGGGATGTACGTACGTCCTTCCTGGGAAAGCTGTGTGCTGGAGGAGGCTGCTGGGATGAAATCTTTCAGAAGCCTACAAAGCATTCTGGGATTTACCGAATACAAGCCCCTCTTTCCAGTGAAGGAAGTTTTAAGAACACCCATCCATTCTGTGGATATAACACTTTCCGCGGGACACTTGAAGTAACCATGACTGTGAAGGTTATGGCTTACTTCCCTGTTCCCACTTTCTTTTTCCCATGCTTTCTCTTGGCCCTAAAGTCTATGTACAATGTGACTGGCTGATCCCAAAGTCCCATGTGTTTTTTGGAGCCAGTGAGTAAAAAGATAGGGCCGCTCTATCACCGAGGAGAGGGGAAATGAGCAGTGAAAAACAGGGAGTGGTAGAGAGCTGGAAGCTTGAGCACAGTGTTAAGAGGATAAGGTCAAAAGATGGCGGGATTATGTGTCACAGTGGTCTGTCTGTCCATCCATTAGATCAAAATACAACGCCCAGGACAAACAGTTAGGAATAGCTGTAGGAGACCAATCAGAGGAGGGTGATGCGTCCTTCAAAATGGCGTGGCTCTCCATACATGTCCAGTCCAGCCGTTACTTACATCCTCTCCAATGTCTATGGTCGCTATTCCAGGACCTGGACTAAAGGTGTTAAGAGATCTACACCACGGCAGTATTTACGTGTCTAGTGTTTTCTTTTTTTGTCCTTCCTTTTTCCCGACCTAGTAATTGACCTTAGTGACTGCTCGTTCGCGCCCCCCGCCCTCCACCAGCTGGTTGACGGAGCGCTTGCGGTTCCGCTTGAATTTGTTCAGGTCCTTGTCGAAGACCTCACCGGAGCGCAGTGCCGACACCAGGTCGTCAAACTCCCCGCCGACCTCGTCTGAAGCGCCGCTCTTCTTGGCCCGACGCTCCCGCTCCCTCTGCTCCTTGAGCTGAAAATGGAAACCGGAAGTTAGACACATTATTTTTGTTTTGTATATTGGTGTCTCAGGGTTTATTCTCTGAATGTGCGTGTCACCATGGCCTCCATTCGTGCCCTCCTCTCCTCCTCATCTTTACGGCGCTGCATGTTCTCCAGGTCCTGCCGTGCCTCGCTGAACGACTGTAAGAAGGTGTCAAAGATCCCGAAGAACTCATCGGGCTGCATCCTCCCTTCTTCCTCCCCAAAGTGCTTCAGAGATTTGGTAAACTGCACAGAGACATGTATTGTATTTTTACAATTCGTTTAGAAGTGATTAAACATTTGGCCAAGAGAGTGGTGCAGTAATGAGTCCTGAAACCCAGAAAAATATTTAGCATTTTACCACTTCCGGTTCTCTGGTATCAGAGTCATAATTTGTTGACATGTTTGTGGTTAGAAGCCTGAAATAAGGTCTGTGGTTAACAAAAGATTACGAGATGTTCACGTTTCGTTCAACAACATGAAATACGTCAGTGAATAGTCCACTTGTAAATATCCAAAGCCTTTATGTGTCATATAAAAACGACGGTTGCTAACAAGTGACTAAATGAGAATACTCAAGGTCAACACGCCAACACGGATCGGCCTTTAGCTTAGCGGTGGTGATGCGCAACTATGCAACGGTTTTGTAGTTCATTTATAGCCTGTTAGCTTTTAAATTCTGACGATTGCATTTATGCTTAAAACATGGTTTTAATATGTGGAGATTATCCTGCTGAACAAAATGTGTTAGGTATCATAAACGTGTGTTGTTAACATAGCCTATTTTTAAACAATATATCCAAATCCAATAGGGAAATTCTGTTGCTTTTTATTAAGGGAGCCCTTGCGAAGCTAACTTGCAGGTCGGCCAACAAAATAAGTCATCACTGCACCAACTGGTTTCGTAGTACAGGGCACTGGTGGCTGCATAGCAGCGCTAATGTCAAAGACACAAACATTATACATTATATTTTAATTTGACCAGGATGCAGTGACACAAATATTTGGGAAGGCTTAGCCTTCCCTAGCCTACAGTACCCGCCGCCCCTGGCCAGGACCATGCCTGCAGCCAAACCTACTTGACATTTCTACACACACATGCTTTGTACAGTGGTATACAGCAGGAAACACAGCAAGATCCGGGCGATATCCTCCAACTTTAAACTATACTAAACTATTAATTGGTGCAGCTTGGAAGTTTAGATTTCTTTGTATTAAAACTTTTCTAAAATGTTAAGCAGAAATGCAAATGTGTATCTTTTGCCAACTTTTGGTGAATACGGGAGAAATCTACAAACGGAAAATAATGTATTTCCTGATTTCCCCCTAATCTGATGAAGACATTTTGGATGCAAAATATCCCAGACTTTTCAAATTAACCAATGCATGAAATGTTTTTGTATGTGTTGTCTTGCTTTAATTGCGTCAACATATTGTTTTGGTTAGCGAGCAGAAGTCCCTCCTGCTCAGTTCTATTCTTTCTGAATGTTACAGTAAAGTAAAATGTCAATCGTGTTTACAGCACACTGTGTGTGGTTCTAGTGTTGTGATACAAAGGAGTTGGGGTTTGCTCTAGTCTGAGGATGCAAAAAAATATCCTGTCATTATGGGCTGTTCACCATGGAAACCATCATCCCTCTACCTTCTGTAATTATACACACATGTACACACACACACACACACACACACACACACACACACGACACACACACACACACACACACACACACACACACACACACACACACACACACACATACACACAACACACCACACACACACACACACACACACAACACACACACACACACACACACACACACACACACACACACTATGTTTGGCTTCTTCATAGAGGATTTAATACATCCCTGCTGTTTGTGCGTGTATTTGTATCAGTGGATGTTCATTGAACACCTGGTTGAGCATTTAGATTCAAAGTTGTTATTTTAAAAGGCTGATTCATACTGGCTCTGGTTATCACATCATTTATTTGTTATCACTTTAAAAAATGTAGTCAACCTCTGCTTAAATTCACTGATTATATGGTGGTATTGTGACTGCTCTGCATGTCATCTTGCTATAGAAATCTGCTGTAAGCTTGCTAGCTAATGTAGCTAACATAGTGATTTCAAATATACTGTCAAAACACTTACGATTTATGAAACTCTACCAACAGTGACATTTCGGTTGTGTTTTGTGCAGCGTTTTCTTTAGCAGAATGTTGTATTGGCAGCGTTTTGTTTATGCAGTGCATTTAGTAAACGCATGTTTCGTCAAGATGGTGAACTTTTTCTAAATGCTGCGCATTAGTTCAAGAAGATGTTTCTTAAGTTACATGTCCATTGGCACATTTGTGTTTTCTATATATTTGCATTGTTTTTTAAACTGTAGCGCGTTTCTTCTAATGTAGGTGCTTTGGGCCGCTGAAGTGCGTTTGCACCTGTTGGCCACCGTATCAACCTAATGAACTCAACTGCATCTATAAACAAACTGAACTGAAAATCAAATGTCTTTATCCAGCACAAAGACCTTTTTTCTGGAGCTGGAAGACGGCGATGTCTGCCAGCGACGCTGAGCCAACTTATTAGGTAAAGGAAGAAAAATGTATCTGGCGATGGAGTAACAGTTAAAGTATTATGGATGAGCAGCTGCTACTGAAAGTGGGATTTATTTAATTTGGAGATTGATGCTGAGCTAGAAATAAAAATATGAACAAATGATTGCCTATGTGGGAATTCTGCAGAGTTTTAGTAGATGCACCTGTGTAAAAGATCTTCAACTGTGTATAATAGCTTTCTTTGATCCATTCATGCCATTAGCACGCCGAAACAAACCCCATTTGTTTGTCACAGGGTTGAAAACCTGATGCTATTGGAGGTCAAATCAAAATACAGACTTTAAAATGTCACAGCAGTTTTGCATGTTTGGCCTATACAACTCCCATAGACTTCCACAAATCAAATCATTTCTCAACCGTTTTCAGTGTGACATCTCTAGTTTAAAATTAAGCTTAAAACTCTTTTTATGTATTGCTAGAAAATGTGGTGCCGATGTCTCGTCCTCCACACATCCATGGGATAAGCTTAGTGATCTTCTTTACATCTAGCCCCTTCTTCAGGTGACATCACTGCTATGTTATTAATAATCCAGCACACGTTCAAATCAGTCAGCAATTACAATTGTAAACCTAAGCTGTTTTTCTCATGCTGGATCTTTCATTGTCTGTGAACATGTCTCTGTGTGGGTGTTTTAAGGATAAACCCGAGCAATCTCTCAGGATAAGAGAAAAACCCCTGTCCCAAAAACCCACATGACCTTGGACAGCTGTAATCCCTTGTAATGTGTGTAGTAATGTCTGGCGAGATACATTTGTTGCCATGGAGCTTTACTGTTTATCATTCTCCTCTACTTTCTTGAGCCGCCACACACACACACACACACACACACCACACACACACACACACACACACAAACACACACACCACACACACACACACACACACACACACACACACACACACACACACACACACACACACACACACACACACACACACACACACACACACACACACACACACACACACACACACACACACACACACACACACAACACACACACACACACACACACACACACACACACACACACACACACACACACACCACACACACCACACACACACACCACACACACACACACACACACCACACACACACACACACACACACACACACACACACACACACAGTGTGTTTAGAGTCTGGTCCCATGAACACAGGTCCTTTTGTTTTACAGTAGTCACCGGTGTCCTGCTCCTCCCGTTCCTTCCCCATGACGTTCAAACTTCCCCACTTTCCCTCCAATATTTTAACCTCCTCCTTGAACAAATAATTAAGTTGAGGGGAGGCTCTGTTCAACCCTCTCGAGCCCTTCCTCCTGTCTTCATTCAAACTCTCATGAACCTCATAGCAAACAAGGTAAGAGGTTCAAATCTTCCAATGAGTCGGCACCTGGATGCTAACAGTACCCAAGGCCTTTTTTATTAAATCAAATGTTTAAATAGATGTTTTAAACACTGTATTTGGGGATTCCCACAGTCCCACTGATAGCTGTAGCTTACACCATTGAATACAAACATCAATGCATGAGCCAGTAGGATTCAAAAGGCCATTTGTTGCACTAAGAAGGAGTGCAGAATTAGAACGAAACAAGATGAAGAGTAATCTTTTGTAACTGCTTGTTTCCCAGGCGCTGCTCACGTCTGTCTACAAAGGACACAGAGGGATGCAAAGAGGTGGGGTTCTCTCTTTAGTATCTTTGCTCACTCCTCCTCTGTCTGTCCACTACATAAAGGTTATGCAGTTACCTTGTCCTTGGCTTCGCTCAGCTGGTCCTCCAGTTCAGAAAAGCTGAAGCCAGCGACGGTGATGAAGTCTCCGATCACAGCCACAAACTTGTCCCCACGTTCCCTCGTCCTGCTCTGCTGGTAGAGCAGCTCCTGCAGGGGAGAACAAGACAAGAGATACGTGATTTAAAAAGCCAACGATGGTAAAATCATGAGGTAATTGTGTGCTTTAAGTCGGGAAAAGGAAGACGGGGACAGAAGACCACATCTATTTCATAGGGGTCTCAAAACAAGAACAATGACAGTTTGATGCCATCGTGAAGTCCCGTGGGAGTTTGCAGTAAGTAGCCGGTTAGGATTCCTTCATTGTTCATCGCTTAGGACTCTTTTACAAGGAGCTGGATTTTCCGCAGGTGTCCTCCTCTTCAAAACAAGCCGACCCGGTGATTAAAACCAGTTCTAACATTGAATAATGGAGTTTCACATTAAAAAATCACTGTTTTTCCATCTCTGTGACGTGTGACTCTTTTATGTGCCCTCCTGTGCGGGTGCATGTGTTGTACATCCGTGTTTCTGTGTGCTGCTACAAATGTTCCATTTCTTGTCGGTGTGGAAAATGACCAACACTTCACCCTGCTGTCCATCTCTGCCCTGCTCCAACACATAATTACAGACAGGAGTAGAACCAACGGGAGGGAACGTGACACAAACGCACAACAACTCACCGCCTCTAGAGCCTTCAGTCCACTTCTGATATTGTGAACCTCTTTTTCCAACTCCGACAAACTAGTCAAGGAGAAAAAAAACATGAAGGAACATGTCTTGTACTGCACTCCCTGACTAGTTTTGGCGTGCAACTTGGGACCTTATTTACATTTTCAGTGACTTTTTCACAAGTAAAATTAGAAAATACTTTTTATATTATATAACACATGCATGTAGGACTATCTCCCTCCCCCACTGTAAATACTTGTGCACTCACTTGACTTTGGCAGCCTCGGGTACACTGCAGAGGTCGTTCTGGATGTGCAGCGTGTCATTGTAGTTCTTCTCCATGATCATGATCAGGTAGTGCAGCATGGTGATGTTCCTGTAGAGACAGAAGTGAAGACAAAAGGTTTTTAACCAAAGTAATCGAGGAAACACTTCTTCTTGTCGAGTTAAAGTATCACCTTTAATACTCTTATTTAACCCTTTGAATCCTTGGCTGTTTTAACACTTTGTTATTCATTTAAGTGACATTCACTAGGATTGCGATATATTGAAATTTCCAGTGAAGTCGCTTGGATAACCTTAGATAAACCCACCTGTTGTACTTGTACCTTGGCCATGAAAATTAAAAAAGTTAGCAGCTGAAGAGTTTGATTTGTGCACCAGCACTTACAATGGTCTGTCTTGTTTGGAGAGAATATGTCAGCACTTTTCTTGTTGCTCTGAGTTTGAATCTTTATCGTTTATTGCACTTATTTCAAGTCGCTTTGGATAAAAGCGTCAGCTACATGAAATGGAATGTAATACCACTATCTGGGATGCAAATAGTTGAAATGCTATACAACGCTTTTACAAAGAAAAATGCAAATTGATATTTTCTTACTATATTGACCATATTGATGGGAGTTGTTTTTTTTCTGGCCAGAGATTGCCTTTATTAGAGTTGAAAGGGGAGGACATGACATGTTTGGTGGGCTCAGGAGTCGAACCCTCCTACTTTGCTGCGGAGACTGCATACTGTATGCTGGATGGGACCTTTTTAAAAGTATTGCCAAAAATGTACTTATATTTTCAGGAATTTGGGCACTACTGTATGTACTACAGTTCCCCTAATGCTTTGGGTGATACAAACAGGAAATGTATGAAATTGCAGCTGAGTAACTGTGGTTTAGAGAAGCGGAGGCACTACAGGCAAACACTTTTTTTTCATGCAATTATTTTGAGTTCTTTTTCATTTTAAATCAACAAAATGTTACCATTTGATAATGCATATTTTGCACATAAAAAGTTTTAAAAGTATACCAAAAGTAGAAGTATCATGCTATATAAGTTGCTAGCAGTCTCTGTTTTTCACATTTATAAAGGAACTCTGGAATTGAGAGGACATTTATCTCTCTTTGGAAAAATTGAGTCACAACAGTCTCCCCCCCCCGATCACCTGTCTATGCTGGACTTGGTGTCAGCGATCTTGTTGAGGCTGGAGACCTTGAAACCGTAGGCGTTTCCTCTCTGGCCCTTGTTCATGAAGTTGCCGAAGGCCAGCACAACCTCCAGGATCTGAGTCAGCTTCTTGCTCCGCACCACCTCCTTGGATGCATTCAGGATCGCTGGAGGAAGATGGATAGAGAGAGAAGCAGCTGGAGCGATCATAGAGTCGGTGATTGATACGTGTGCACTTTGCTTAGTGCATCACTTATATTATAAGACTAGCCTTATTCCATTCTGCTTCTCTACTCAGCCCCCATGCACACACATCTCATCTTTCCTTCATTTTTGTAATCCTTCATGATGATTGATCAATATTCCCCACAACAACTGGGCAGCCGAGTAGGGAAACCCATCAAGTCTCTCCATCCATCCATAAAACAGCAGAGGGGAAGGGGTTGTTCCTGTCCCCCCTGAGAACAGACTTGTCTGGCAGAGTGCAGGTGGTTCCCTCTCTCCGCAGAGGAAACCTCAGTGTGAATGTGAAAAGCATTAACAGAGCCCACATTGTTATTGTTACAGTTCACTCTGCAGTGATACAGCATGGGAATCGTTCTTCTGGCTCTGCTGACAGGATTCTGCTGGCGGTCTTATGAAATGCTTCAATTGAACATGCTGGGTGGTCCAGGGAAATATAGTCTCATCTAGACTATATGACAAAGTAACACCAATAATAAAAGGGGATAGAGGCTTTATTACGGGCATCGATGGACATTGTGGTCTGGGAACATTTGGATCCAATAACAATGATTGTTAAGGCTTGATTCAATACTCAAAACTCACAGGTTGTTTCCTCTGCTCACACTTTCTTTTCCAGTAATAGATGTCAAAAAATAAATAAATGGCAAACAAGCCACAGTCAAGTGGCAACCTTCGGGTGTGAGCCTTGCTTTCTCTCTGGTGTCCAGCAGGGGGCGACCCTACTAGTTGCATAAAGAAGTCAGATTTGATAGAAGGCTAGGAAAACAATTCTCAACATTTTCCTAATAGGTTTAATCCATAGTCTTCTTCAATACGGCGTGATGTCAATTTTGTAAATGGTGGTACCATTAAGAGTAAAATAGACGATTAATGGGGGTATGCTTCGGGGCGTTGCCATCTTGTGATTGACCGATCGCTAGAACACTGTTGTGTGGTTTGAATGTTTTCTGTGTTTTCATCTTAAAACTTGAACTCCTTTACAATTGGTTTTCAGTTCATGAAGGTTAATCGTAAAATTCACCAGAGTCCGTTGTACTGGTCACTTCTGGTTCCAAAACAACAAAACAGTGCCTCTCAAAATGCCAAAATCATTAAAACCGCAGTCTAACAACCAACGGGCGATGTCGTGGTGAGGAAGTTCCCTTCTTTAATAAAGTCTATGTTTAGCGCTGCAAATAAGACACTGCTGGAAAATATAATGTGATGGGTGAGAGTAGGAAAAGGGCATTAAGGCCAGCAGAATAGTTTTTTTCAATGATCGCTTACTTAAACAGTCCTTAGGACAGATCAGTAGTGACACACCCATGAGCACACAAGTCTATAGACCTCATTGGATGCCTTTTTCCTGGGTCTTTGAAGTGAACGGTTTATGAAAGGCTTTGCCATCGCAACATGGGCCAGCTTTCCAAAACAGCCTCCTTGGTAACCTGGAAGCTGGCTGGAAGGGAAAAACTACCCTGGGCCAATGGACAATTGGCCAACCGCTCTCACCATGCATACACATGTGCACACTTAGAACAGAGAAAGATTTTCTCATGTCATGATGAATAGCATTAGTTCAAAGTGATCAAAGATGCTGACATTTTCAGTGTATGTTTTTGCTTCTAGACGTGTAAAATCATGTGTATGTGACACACCCTCAAAGCATGTTCTGTAAAATGATTATAGCTTGCTCCATTTCTGTTTAGGGTGAGGGTTTCTTTAGTAGCTTTGTTCTCGGACAGTGACTTGAGACAAAAGTGTACTAACCCATTAGCGCCCAAATACTATGTTCTGATTGGTCTGAAGTCTTGAACTCTGGTAAGGACAATCCTTTGGGCAAGTACGTATCTAACGGTAGAGCTTATTTTTCTCATACTGCCTGTGCTGCAGCCCCTCTTTTCACCCTCTGTCTGAAACCAGAGCCAAGTCTGCTCTGATTAGTTAGCTGGCTGGCTCTGTTTTGATTGGTCAACCGCTTAAGAGATGAACCGCTCCTTAGCCGATCATGTACAATGTATTGGATAGCCTTTGCACACACATTTATATAACACACTACAGGAAAGGGACAACCCCAAAATGCAAAAAAGTGCCTCTTTAAGTGGCGTGGCATTTACTAGTTTGTGTACAACAACACAGCTCTGTGGCAGGGATATACAGTATAAGATGTATGCTTTGGCATAAAATAGATATTATGATCGATGTATTTGTTCAAATGTTAACAATATAGAATATTGCCGCCATTATCCTCTATATAATCACTTAAGAGTTGAGCCTTTTAGTGTCCTAGGAGGTGTTTGTCCTTACCTTCAACCTTAGGCTTGGTTTCGCCTAGACGCTCTGCAAACTTCTTCTTAAAGAACAGAGCCTGTAGTCTCTGCTGGTAGTGGTCAATTCTGATGAGGGGAACAAAGGGGAGTGTAAGTTCAAAGCTTGAAATCACCCAATCGTACAAAACTCCCCCTCTCAGTTTTCACAGGCCTTTTATCGTCAAACAGGCTCCCATCAAATTGGAAAGTTGACAAATGGCATTGTTGAACCTGCCCAAAAGTTCACAGGGGCAGAGAATGGGAATTTCAAGGACGGATGAGGGATATTAAATGGCAACAAAAAAAGAAATAACTAAATCCCAGATGTATTCCTGGGACCAAAGGAGATGTGGTCAAAAGGGAAGAAAGTGGACAGGGTAATATTTCACAGAAGGATATGAAAAGGTTTAATTATCTCAAAAAAATGGTCCAGATTCGGAGAATGGAAGAAATGCGCTTATTTAAACATTCTCCACTGTCTGATGTGATGGGAGTCCTCAGAGGGCCGTCGTGGCTTCTTTTCACAGCTAAATTATGAATTGTTCAAAGTTAAAGGCTTGTTTTTCATCCCAGCCCCCCCACGTTGCTTTTGAACAGACATCATACTCTGCAGGATTTTAGGATCCATTTGTGGTAACTGGCTTATGTCTTGATCCTGCACAAAATCTGCATGTTGTTCACTTTGGAAATGCTCCATTTCAAATGCTGACAATAGACAGACCTATTGCATCTGTTTTATAACAGAGACACTGACCTTTGTGACACAGATGTTCATCACCATATCTTAATGTTACAAATGCATAATATTATTTGATAATAATGTAGACCTGTGTACCTGCTCATTTCAAAGAGGAAGCGATCAGCCCTGGCCATGCGCTCCAGCTCGTGTTTGTGCTCCTCCAAGAGATCGATGTCACTCTTCTCTGGGACAAACTTCAGCAGCTGCAAGGATGCAAAGTCAGAGTTTATCCAGATGCTAAGGCTGTGGAGCATACTTCATGCATAGTATCTAAAAATTGTTCAGGATTTCAGGATTCCAACCCCCGGTCCTCTGCTTAGGGACCGAGAGCCCAGTACATTGACCACCAGCTCAACCAATTCAACAATACGGCGGCCCCTATTAGCTCGTTTTTTCCCGTTGATTAGCTGTATACATTATGATGTAATATGTGTAAATCATTCCAAAACTTTATCAGTACAAAAATATCAGGATGTTTCTTTTTTTTTAAATATATGAAATCTATAACTTTGTCTTTTTTTATATTTACATCATCCCCCACCCTCACCTGCTCCAGCATATCTTTGGACAGCTCTTCCCTCTCGTCCATCTCCAGGATCGCCCTCTTGATCTCTTCATTGCTCATTTTTAACCTGCAAGGGAGAAGCAAATTCGAAGGGGTTGTAATTACATTACATTAAATGTAATTAATTGGCACATTACAAACAGTGTAGAGAAAACTGTAACTAATACTCTGATCTGGACCCTAGTCAACTCCCGGGAGCAATGCCAGCTGTTTTCAGTGCATGTTAAGTGTGCTGGGTTGCGTTAGGATCAATAACAGCATTGTTAGTCTGTGCGTCAAAGCCTTATTGAGCAGCTGCTGACCCCATTTGGATCTAGTTCGTACCCTTGGGTCATTTTCTATTGACACGAGAGTGGGTTTAGGGACAGTGCTGCAGCATGTCAGATGGAGAAGGCTCTCAGGGACCCTCTTTATCGATCTGTAAAGGGAGGGGGGGTTTGGTTCAAATTTGTGAAAGGGCTTTGGATCATTGCCATAAGAAGACACACAAATGGTAACCATACTGTTGGGTGGATTTGAAATGATGTCAATTGATTACAGTTTACATAAAGTAAGCCTTAAAGCCTCTTGGGAGGAGCAGGGTCATTTGCATGATTTCATATGGCTTAAAAGGGACTGTTCAACCCAAACTCAAACATATATGTATATTATTAGTTATTCATTAATCCAGATTGTTTTGGTGTGTTGGAGTGTTGGAGATATCGGCCATAATAATGGAATTAGATTTTTAAAAACACAATAAAAAAACTTAACAGCAATGTCTTTGAAAAATATAATGACCTGGTTACTGAAGAACATCCCCAAAATTAGCTGTGAGCAGTTTCATGTAAGAACTATTTTCTTTCTACCCAGCTACACCCGCAAATCATATGACCGTGCAAAAGGAAGCGTCTACTTACGAACAAGAGGCTTTCTGAACTGTTTAACTAAACAGCTCAGCAGAGAAGGACACAATTCATGTTTTCCTCAAGTTTTTCATACACATTAAAAAGTACAGTTGTATATTCAACTTTCACAACTTACACTGCACATTGATACGGTTGGCGAGTGTAAGAAAAATAGTTGCTACATGAAACTGTTCACAAGTCTGTGTCATGATTTCTGGAAAACAACATTTCTTTTGAGTTTTTTCAAATTAATTTTTAAAAACGCAAATGAACACAAGACTAGTTCCATCATATTGGAGACAAGGCAGACCGAAATATCCTTAAATAAAATGTACAAATACCACAAATAAAAAGAAAAATGGTATGTTGGGGGTAAATTGTCCCTTTATTGGGGAGACTAATAGCACTTCGATGTCTAAAATAGACAAAAACCTCATAATCTAAACACTCCAGGGACACATCCTGGATAATGCTTTCTGTCTGTCATATGACTAAGCTTGCTCTTACCATTGGTTATTCAATTACACGGACAGATGTCCTCGTGTGTCCATTAAAAACACATTTCCTGTACCAGACACAAGAAGCACCTGCCTCAAGCAGCTTACACTGAGTTACATCTCCAACCCCTGACCCAAAGTGTTTCCTATTTCAGTGCTCAGGGCATCTCTTCACAATTAAATCTAAGATAAAAACAAGAAGATTACTGATAGTACAACAAAACACGATTGATGGAACACGCACTTTGAAAGAAGAATGACACAATTCTGTGCACGTCGGCCATCGATGACTGACAGCTCCTTGACCTTCCGCGTGCTGACGTATATGTCATCCATGGAGCCCGTCTCTTTCTGCAGAATGAGAAAGACAGAGATCCAGATTACATTTGCAACATGGTTCCATCTATAAGAGAGCTCAAATTGAGAAGCCTGCTCAGTGCTTCTTCTCACATCTGTTAACTTGTTGAGAATTGACATGAACTTTTGAGCATTTGACAATGCGTTCATTTGGAGCAGACATTTAAAAAAAGAATGAAAAAGTATTGCAGTTTGATCACTGACACCATCAAGCACGTACCATACTAACATGTTGAAACTCCATCCAAATACTTTAAGAGGTCTCAGCCACTGACCCTGAATGCATAATGCACGTCTTATTATAAACCCTGAACTGAATTGTGGATGCTGTATGAAAACATGTTTTAAAAAAGATTTGGAAAAATTCACAAATGTATGCCGTTTGCAAGAAAGAAATATATACATAAATTCCTGCGGGGGAAGATTTTATTTGGCGAGTCACCACAGCAAACACAATGCAGGCAGACCTATAAAACTCTCAGGAGGAACAGGAAACACTGTGCAAGACTTGGTTCAGGCCAGTCACACAAATGTAGTATTAACATTCCACAAGGAGAGGGAATACATGTCTGAGAATAACGGTCAGGGCTGCATGTAAAACACAACCTATTTCTGGTCTAAGCCAGCATACTGTTGCCAGAAAACATTATTTTTGAGGCTATGTCGTATTTAAAACAGATGCAGCTTATAAAGCAAGTGCCGTTTTCCATGCCTGCGTTGACCCGCAGTGCCTGGCAACAGCCTGAGGTTGGCACTGGGTTAGGGGGACAACTCCCATTCACAGAGCCCGCCAAAACCCTCTCTGCCTACGCACTAAAGGCAGCTTTGCCAACTTGTTTCTAGACTGTGCACTCAACCCTATGTAACTGGAGAAAAGCACCTTCATCTTTTATAGAAGTTATCAATTGATCGAATTGCAAACTGTTTTCTTTTCTTCTTGTGCCAGGACACATGAAGGTTGGACATGCAAATGGCAGCATTTCAATTCAGACGTTTCCTGCTAAGTTAATGATGATGAATTATGAGGATTAAAGGAGACATTATATGCACATTTTCAGCTGCATAGAGATTTTGGGTTTCTACTAGAATATGTTTACATGCTTTAATGTTCAAAAAACACATTACTTGTATCATGTGGTCTATCTAGATAAACCTGTATTACATTTCTGTCAGAAACGCTCAGTTTTAGCGCCTGTCTCTTTAAAAAGCCCAATCTGCTTTGTTTGGAAATGTTTTAGGGTTCTACTGCATCACTGCTATTGGCGTCCCTTCGCTGTCATTGCAGCCAGGAAATAACTGCAACGGCACTTTCTACCTATTTCTCTAATTCTGTGGCATCATAACTGAAGTGCTGATGGCTCATTTAAAGTTTCTGGATACAGGAACGTTTTTCATGGATTGAACGTTTTAATAGTTTCACAGTATTTATATTGCAACTATACCTAGTTTGTAACAAAGAAACATGGCAGAGGAGAAGAAGATAGAGCATTGGAATTAAACCATGAAATAAAGATCCTGAAAAAGCTTGAACTCACCTGTTTGAAGGATTGGTTAGTGAGCAGCTCCTGCCCAGGCATTCGTAGAGTGCAGAGAGACAAACAAATTGAAAACACATGCAAAGATTAGCATTTCAAGCAGAAAAAAAGAGGTGACCATAGAGCAAGGAACTACAACTGTGCATACTACAAGCTGAAGTTGGGAAGCAATGCTAATCTAATGTCCAACTCATCACAGGCTCATGACAAAATATTGCAATTTTCTCTGCATAGGTGAACAGAAAAGCTTTTAAACTCTGTTCTATTTTGGTTTCAGTATTTTCAAAAGAGGTCACGACTGTTATCAGGACCGTTACTTCCTAGCGGACTATGCAGATGCATAGGGCCCCCGCGGCCACTAGGGGGCCCCCAAGCTAAAAGTTCAGGTTCAGCCTCAATATATTTGGGGAGAATTCAAATGAGCCGTCTTTATTTGTAGACAGCCAAGCCCCCTCCTGTGTTCGGTGAAGCATTATATACTTAAAAATCAAATGTAGGATATAAATACAACTAAACTGCAATAATAGCAAAGCTGTGGCTTGTGTTTGTGGGGTAATAAAGTCCTAATCATTCAGATTGATGCATCTCCACAGATCAACTTAAAGGCTTCGGAATCCCCCCATTACAAAAACTGTAAAAACTAGGGCCCCCAAACAGCATCTTGCATAGGGCCCCCAAAAAGCTAGAAACGGCCCTGACTGTTATAATGTATTATTTTGATTGCATCTACATCTGTCTTGGCAAGGAACAAGGAAGGAACAAGGAACATGAAAAATGAGTGTGGTAACTGAACCTACAGAAGGGGGAATGTAAACAAAAGTCTATTTTGAAAGAAAAACCAATGACAAGTTAAGAAAAGCAATTATGCCGTGAATACACTTTGCAATATCGCAGTTCAATGGAATCGCACTCTTGCTAAATCGAGCAAGGTTGTCAAAGCCAGGCAGACCTTGGGTTTTTATGTGGCTATATCCGTAGAGATGGCCATTTAACCGCTGGCCCGTGCCAATAAAAGCCTGCTCTGTATAAATAAATACACACAGTAAATAAGCGTCAGCAACAGCCCCAAATTAATTATTACTCTTTAATAAAAGCCTGAAAAGAGAAGTTGTGCTTTAAGCTGTCAGAAGGCTTTAAGCATGGCAGTAAAATACCTTGTAAAGGAATTCAACAATAGTAATGCCTCTTCAGAGACTTTGCCAAGCATTACTCTTCCACTGATGTGAATATTTAAAAATCATTGCGGCATATTAACGTTCCACTTTGACGCAGTAAAAACGTATAAATTCATGCATATAACATTATCCCATGACAAGTGGCGTGTAATAACTTTGTAGCATTGAGGGAAGTAATTGCTATGTACTCTATGGTGTCGCCCCGAAGGCACGCATACGGCAATTATCCTGTTAGTAAGTCCCTGGTTGAACATGCTTTAGTCAATTGCCTCTTTATTTTAAACCGTGTGCTTTAGTAAAACGCTTCCTGTGTCGTGACTCTTCGTGACTTCCCTGGTGTTTCCTCAGTGTTGCCCTGTTCCATGAGTGACTGTTGCCAGCATCCATAGTAAATAAAGAATCAGTGATCTACTTATTTATTTATGAGCGACTAAAAGGCCGTAGGCCTATTACAACCGTATCCTATTGATTGATTGATGAGCCCGTGATGACCCGGTCAATTCCCCATTTCTCACACTAATACACCGCAGATATCAGGGCAAAGCTCGAGCTCAGAGGCGTTTCTACAATACAGCATTCAGTAGTGAACAGCTGTTCATGTTAGCCTGGAGCTAGACTCTTAGCACTCTCAAGAGACCTCTTACAACATCCCACCCTTCAACCCACCACACACACTTATACACACACACTAGAGAATCACTTCCAAGTCCAAATGCAGCAGTTAGTAAAACAAGAGGCATAAAATGGATTTCTGGGCCTATATTTTTACACTGTATCCAACTTGGTAGAAAATCCAAACCTGTTGTCTCTGATAGGCGGAAAACATCTTCTCGATGTCCTTGAGGTCAAGAATCTTGAAAGCTCTCAGGTCATCGATGTCATTCCAGATGGTGCCGTTGATCACATTCTGAAAAGGGTTAAAGGGCACAAGGGGTTGAATAAAAAAAACTTCTACATAATTATATAATTTTTTGCTGTAAAAAAATCTTAATGCTAAATAATGAAAAACATGGATTTTTCTGATGTAATGATCTCAGATTTTGGACAATGGTTGCTTTCATTAATAGGTTTGGTTGCAAATGTGATTTTTTTTTGTTCTTTAAATTGAATTAGAGTTTGTCAGAGTAGATCTTCTCACCTCTCCTAGTTTGGCCCAGTTGAAGGACTTCAGAGGATGAGAAGGCGTAGGGATGGACTTGGAGCGCATGTTGGAGTTGAATGAAGAGAGAATAGGAGGAGGCGGAGCTCCGAATATGGGAGGGGCTCCTGGTGGAGGAGGCGGTGCTCCAGGTGGGGGAGGAGGCGGCGGTGGAGGAGGCGGGCAGCTAAACGGCAGCGGAGGAGGAGGTGGTGGACAGCCACCCATCATAGGTGGTGGAGGTGGAGCCATGGGGCTGCCAGGGGGAGGAGGAGGAGGAGGCGGGAAAGACACACCCATCCCCTATAGGTTGGGAGAGAGAAATAAAAGTTATGCCATGTTTTGAATAACATTTCATTGCAGCAAAGATGCAATTTAAACACAAACTAGCTTAGCATATGTATTGGAACTGGAAGCAGGGTTAAATAGCTAGCTTTCATGAAAGAAGAGGAAAAAACTACTTTCTAATGCCCCCAAAACAGTCCAACTAACATTATATCTTGTTAGCTAGCAAAGTAGCAAACAATACTTCCAACACACAATGACTCCTTTGAAAAGTCAGTTACTGGGCCCAGCCTTTTAAATGTAATTGGCTTATTTTATCTTATGAAAAGAAGATGGTCTCAATTAGCTATCTTTATTTTTCTTGGTACCTTTGTCAATAACACATACAGTACATGTTCAAAGAGTAAATATGAAAGCTGTGACGCAGCTGGAAGGCAACATTGACCATTTCCTGCGTGTTTTTGCTAAGCTAAATGCACATTGAACACATCTTACTAGGAACTGCAGTCAATCAAGCAGATATGATTTCTATCAATTTGTTGTGTTTTTGTATTTAACATTATTTACTGGGCTGTTGACAAAACAGAGAAATCTGTCCAAAATAAGATAAACACAATTAAAGAGCAGCATATCACCGATTCATACAGGGTGATTTATGTTTTGTTGTAAGGTTGTATAAGAAGCAGCACTGCTCACAGATATGTTATTGATGTGTGAGGACAGGTCATGGACTTGTTCCCTGGCTGAGCGAAGCTCCACTCCCTCACGCTGGAGTTTGTCCTTCATTTTGTTCAATGTCTTCATCATGTCATCCTTTTCCTGGGTCTTGGTTTCACACTCTCGCTCCTTCTTCTCTAGTTTACCTAGCAGCTCTAAATGATCTAAAATGACAGAATGGCAAAACAAAGCATGGTATATTACAAGATGCATTTTCCATTTCAACCTGCAGAGTGCAGTGTGTCAAACAAGTCTTACCTTTCCTGAACTTCTCTGCCTGTTCTCGCCACTGTTTCACCTCATTCTCATTGACCAACCTGTGAAGCAGGCAGACACAAATGAGCACAGAAACAAAAACAGACATACACTTGCACAAAACTCTCACATGTAGGGGTCAACAGCAGTACAACCAAGTCAAGGGAAATTCAATATTTAGGTTGGAAATCAACTGAAAATAAATCTTATCATCCAGATTCATTACCGGCATTGACTTGGTTCATGCGGTTTGCTCTTTTAAGCAGCGTAACACAACATTAGTGCTGAAATAAATCCTGAAGGAATTAAATCAATTATATTCAGTTACACAATTTGGCACTTGGTTACTTTGGTAAATGTGATCAGCTAATGTGTGGGCAGGGTCAGGGTATGAGTAAAGAAATAAATAGAAACGTTAAAACTGAATGAAAAAAAGAAAGAAAAGATGATCATATGAAGTGTTTTGAAGAGTTAATTTAGCTAGAAAGATTTGAAAAGGGAAACCTTGAGCATCGGTGAAAGCCATGTCTAGAGTTGAGAGAATAGACATGTTTCAGTGGGATAGAGAGTATAAAGGTAACAAAGAGCATAAGAGAGGGTATAGCTGAACAAGTGCTAACGTACGACTGCCAACGAGGATAAAGCAAACTTGCAGTAACGATTCACCCTTAATAACTTGCAATCAATTCACAAGCAAATCCACAAGAGCATTTCAAAGCAAATTGGTCATGAATCAGATTTAGGTCCTGCAAATGATTGCGTTAGTGAACAGGACGGTCGGATTATAAAGTGAGGGCTGCTTTAATGACATCTGATCCAACTCGTTCAAACCGAGCACTTTCTTATTCACTGGTCAAATAAATACCTTTACATTGCTGTGGAAAGAATGTGATTGGTATAGGAGTGTTAATTTTGGATGAGGCACACGTGTGAGTAGTCAGAGCAGTCGTCATGGTGACCGCAGATGATGGATGACTTTGTCTCCAAGTTGTTTTAACAGTTGTTTTAACATCCCCCTCCTCCGCACCACAAGACGTACAGTACATTTTCAACCTCCGGCACGCAGCCAAAGCAATGAGGAGATCTTAGTTAATGCAAATCCTTACAGAATTTACTCTCAGAGAGTTTATGGAAACACAAAAATACTTGGCAGTGATGTGAAAGCAAGGGATAGGCTTTGTCCGCCGTGATTGATCTGCAAAGGACAGTAATGGACGTCCGGGCTTTTTTCGATGCCGCGTCCAAATCCTGCTTTCTGTACGCTACTGGAAAGAATTACGCTCAAGTGAACTGATTGCACAAACAGTAGTGGCTGAATTAGTGAACAAAGTAGGAGCGAGCGGGGGCCAAGATTTACCACGCAACATGTTTTACGGAGCTTTCACCGCGGAGACTAACATATTCATCACTGGTTTGAAGCTTGCTTTAGAAATAACAAAAAAAGTGGAGAGTGGAAGAAAGATGGTGAAAAAAAAAGGACGTCTGATAGAAGAATTATGGGAAAAACACACTAAATGTATTGTATGGATCCATCTTCTTACACTACCAACAGCACACCGTTGTCTTTGGCTGCTGAACACAAGTAAAGACTGGTTTTTAAATTCCGTAAAAACAAGACCACAAAACCCTGAACATTTGAGTAAATCCCTCTGTTCAACAGTGTTATGAAATACAGAACACGTCTACTTGCGCTTGGTTTTCCCTTTATAAAAGATTAATTTCACCTTCATGAAAGTGACTGCTTGGCCGCACCTAAACATGGCTGACTTGACCGGCCTGTCCGCTTAATGCGATTAGAGCAATTTTCCTTTTGATCTCCAGCTTCCGCTTTCATGCCAATCCATGCTTGGAGCGTGGCTTCCTCTGATTCTACCCAGGACCCCCTGCTGCTAGCTTCACCTCACCTTCCTGTGAAACCACATTCTCCACTGCCATCATAACATGTTTAAATATAGCCAGTGCAAGAGTGGTGTTTTATTACATGGCTTAGTTGAATACTCGATTCTGATTGTTCTGGATTAACAGCGTGTCACATGTTCTGAATTGACCAGACAGACCGCTGTCAAGCACTTATTGACCGTTGTTAAGGACGCTCACATCTGCACAAACAAGTCCGTTCGATTTAACTGTATACAGTTTGGCCGAAAAGCAACCTTCATGCAGTTTGCTTTTCTAATTGACAAGACAAGAGCGACAAGAAAACAGCGGAGAAGTAACGGGCAGAAACCCTCCTTTTTACGCAGCGGTCCAGACATAGACATCAAACGGCGACACATATTCAGTGTGCAGTTACTTTGGCATTAGGGCAGGGATATCTAGATACTTTCCAAGGTTTGACATCATGAATTGTGCTACTTTTAAAGCAAGCAGCGATGTTTTCAAATCTGTAATCAAAAAGCTCCTCAAAAACGCTATCGAAGCAGTTCCTGCCGTTGCTACGTTAGTTCAAACGGTAACAACGGACTATTTTTCTTAGCGGATGCATGTCAATTTAAATCAATACATGCAACTATTTTTTAAATCAATAAAATCATTTTCTAAATCCATAAAAGCATTTCAATTAATATTGGGAGTCATGACGTTACTTTGTTGAGAATGTGGCCATGTAATGTGCGGGATAATGTGGATAATGTGCGGGATTCATGCCGATCTAGATCCCACCGCTTCGCGTCGGGCTCCTGATCAGCCTGTCGGTGTTCTTTTCCCCATAATGACCGCGTCGCTGCACATTATCCCTTACATGATTGAATATTGTTTTACTGTGAATGCTTCCTCCACTAAAGCTCTGACGCAGTGGTCATCTGCCCTCCAGCTGTGCCTCAAACAATCTGACATATAGCTGGAGTTGATATCAGACTTGTCTTTGATCTTGGTTGGAAGTGATGCATTAACCACAAGGACTTTCCAGAAATGAGGGTTTACAGCTTCGGAGAATAGGAAGCAGCTTTTAAAGGCCTGAAACACTCATTGGAAGTAGAGTGCACTTACAGTAACTCTCCCTTATGATATTATGAATTACAGTTCCTACGATGGTTGGTGTGGATACAATAGTATCCTATCTTATTATACAATTTGAAGGATATTATAGCAAATAATACCATTTATTTTAATGACAAAAACAAGACGATTACGAGATAACAGCAATGTCATTAAACACTAATTGTGACGAAAAAGACAAGAATGAAATCTAGTTAAAAAATGAAAACGTTATCAGAATGTATATTTTATTTCCCTTTCTCCATTCCTACTCTTACTCAAACACATCTACTGTACGACAACTGTCAATTGGCTGAGGTTATTTGAGGATGATGAGATTCCACTTACATGCGAATGATGTTCTTAACACTGAAGTTTTCCAGAGGGGCGCTGTCTGGGTCCTGTCCCTTCTCGTCCTGCAAGACTATCTGCTGGAGGATCCTGTCTAAGAGCTGCCAGTGCTGCAGGCTGCCACCACCACGTTTATCTGGATGTGAAGTCGCACAAAGACATACTAAGTTCATCCATATATTGGTCAGTTCAACATGTAAAGTTGGTCTATGACGTTTAGTACACTTTATCTGTTCATTATTGTTATGTTAGAAAAGCTTCCTGTCATGCATGTACTCACAGGGCATCTGGAGGCAGTGCTGGAGGATGGAGAGGAGGTTGGGGTAGGCGTCTGAGTGACTCAGCTTCTTCTTGATCAGCTCAAACATTGCACCGGCACTCTTAGTATCGACGTGGGACTATCAAATAAAGAACAGGTTTTGAATTACAAAATACTGTCTGACCATTCATTTGTTTGCCTTTTAGATTAGTTAAGCCATATGGCAGCTGAACCTTATAGCCAATTGAAGCCACATTAATAAACACAAATGACTGAAAAAGAAGAAAAAAATAGTTTTGTGTTAAAAAACACACAAGAGTAGGTTACTCACAGTATCAAATGTTTTGGCTAACTCCGAGTCATCTTCATTCCGCACCATCTCAAAGAAGTCCAAATGCCTGGGCAGGGAGAAATAATTGTCCGAGATTAGAGGAGTTACTGCCTCTTCACCGCAAATAATAACAAAGTACATTTCTACAAAACAAAAGGGTGAAGCATTTATTTTGCTGAAGAGTAATATCATTTATTAGTTAATTGCTCATTAGGCTTCTTCCTCACCTATCCAGAGTGGAATTCTCATGCCCTCTGAGCTTGTCGATGACCGGCTGGATGCCCAACATCAGGAACTCGTACCTTAGGTGGAGGCGGAACTCAAGGTTGTCCTATAAATAAAAGAACAATCAACATAATGACATCAGAAAAATTGAAAACATTTGAATTGTCAAATGGAGATTGGTTATTAGTTATCTAGCATGTGCCTATAATCACATTTACATTTCAAACAACATTTACTACTGAATAACCAGTAATAAAAGACGTGAAAAAGGGGGAAGGTGGATTTGTTTTAACCACAGAGCTAGGTTAGCTGTATCTCCTGCGTTTCCAGTTGTTATGCTCGGCTAAGCTAACTTAAACTAAGCGGCTTCTCGCTGTAGCTTCATATTTACCAAACACAAGAGTGGTATTAATCTTCTTAGCTAATGTAACTCTCTGCCAGAAGGTCCATCAGTTTATTTTCAAAAATGTTGAACCTTGAAGTTCACATAAACATTTGAATTGCAAGCTAACAGAGGCTAACACTTTGGGTATAGGCTTGTCAAACCTAAGCAGGAATTCTTGATTTGTTAACATTTCAAGTAAAATAAAAACATATCCCACTACTTTTTCCCCTCACAAATGTGTTGAGTTCTTCTCTAAATACTGAAACTAAATTCAACTGAAGTTTTTTTCCCCTTTATTTACAGTTATAGGGTGTATCTAAAATGCCTATGGATTTGCTGACCTCCCCAGCTCCAGCGTTGAGCACAGCGTTGATGAAGGACATGATGGCAGTCTTTAAGTTGACCTCGTCTCTGTAGCGGCCTGTACTCTTGTCCAGCTCATTCAGCAGCGTCTACATGGGCAGGACAGATCGAACAGTTAGCCAGCAAGTTAGTTTGATCCAAAAATACATTTTCAACACTTAAATCATCAGATAGCAACTGAGTCAGACATTAAAAGGAACATGTCGCTACAATCTTGATTTATCAAAACACAACATTAAAGAGAAACCTGATAACACACTACTTAACACCATTTTGTCCCTCTGAAACTCACACCGACATTCTTTAGCATGTTAATCATAACTCAAAAGGTCTCAAAAGTTTGAAATCACTCAGCCCCGGTGGTGTTAGCTTAGCCTGAGGCGGCATGATTTAGCACACACCCCGGGGGGACGTGTGAGATGTGGCTTGTTGACTCAGTCCTGCTAGTCACTTAAGCACCACACAATCCATGTACTCCATTATTCTGGATGTCCTCACTTGCCTTTAATATGCCCACAGTGTTGATTTAACCTGAGGCTAACAGTCTGAGCTGCGGCAGCACGAGTCTCCAACTAATCAAAATGACCACAGGGTGATTTATTTGAGCATTACTTTGAAATATTTGTCTGCAACTCCCCATTATGTCTGTCTCCCCCATGTCTACAGCAAAGGCCTTATACAGAAGGTATTTTTGACCAACATTTAGCACCCTCACCTGAAAGCGAGTCCTCTCTGCAGCATATTTCTGGTAGTGCGCCATGGCCTGTAGCACCTTCTTGTGTCCGTCAGGCACAAGGCACACCGCCCCGAGAATCTCCAGCACGGCCACCTTGGTCTTGATGTTCTCTGTCCGCAGGCTCTGGGAGATGGTGTTGATGCTCTGTGGGTGTGCCAGGACGTGCGCGCGGCCCTGGGAGTTGTTCATCAGGGCCTTGATGCAGCCGATGACCGAGGTGTGGACGCGGCTCTCCGACGTCTCGTAGTCCATGCTGCGCAGGAAGTTGAGCAGGCAGGTGAGGCCGTCGAGCTCGATGAAGCGTGTGACAAACCTGGAAGAGGTAAATAAGTAGATTCAGAAGAAAGTATACATCCATGGACTTTCCATTAGTGTGGTGCGGCTTGTACCAAATAACGTTGACATTTTATTTAGTTCTATTAATAACTAAGAGAAACATTGCATGCAATACGCTCTCTCTTTTAACACACACACACACACACACACACACACACACACACACACACACACACACACACACACACACACACACACACACACACACACACACACACACACACACACACACACACACACACACACACACACACACACACACACACACACACACACACACACACACACACAACACACACACACACACACAACACACACACACACACACACACACACACACACACACACACACACACACACACACACACACACACACACACACACACACACACACACACACACACACCACACACACACACACACACACACACACACACACACACACACACACACACACACACACACACACACACACACACACACACACACACACACAGATTCTGATGTTTTATTTATTAGAAATACTGATAAAAAGATATGCTGCAGTGCCCTGGTTCTCATAAACCATGAAGTTCACGTATTGCCGTAGAGTAGACCATTCCTCATTTATTTCTCTGGTCTTTCTGTCATCTCGTCAAATATGCTTTATCAATATAATGCTTTTTTTTTATCTGATAATCAGATATCTTTAAATTCCTCTTCACAATATCCCACGGCTTAAAGCCTTCAATTCACTACAGTCCAAAAATATAAGTTAATTTAAAAATGAATAATAATAAAGAACTGATCAAAGCAGTATATGTCTTTTCATTTGAGGGGTGTGCAAAAAGCAAAGGTTTGGCTGTAATCGACTCAAACAGTTGATCACCAAAATTGTTAGAATTGGTTAATTATAACAATCTTAATATCCTGAATTTTAGTCAGTATTTAAGGCCAAGATCCTAAAAACAGTTAGTACTCCACATAACGAGGACACTGACCTTTTTGTGTAAAATTGGCGGAATCCCCCTATTAAGTGCTACCAATGCCTAATGTCTTAGTGAAACTTCATCCAATCTCCGACTGACAACCCTAATTAGTTGAACTAATTAGAACTCAGCAAGTCATTACCCTCGCTGGATGAGAAGCAGACCTTTCTGAATGACAGGCAGGACGTGTAAACATTGAGCGAAGTCTAGTGAAAACACCGTGGGCTCTATTGTAAATGACCTTCCCACTCACTAAGATTCCTGATAGGCCTCATAAATAATCAAACAAATGAGGGCTTGTATTAGGAGTAAAGAGGCAGAGGACGAATAGAGGAAAAGAGAAGAGGGGTGGACAGTGAAGAAAAGAGGAGAGGGTCTGAGTTAAAATGTATTGCCCCTCATTGCAACAGATACATTGTCAGAAGTTCCACTTGGCTCGAGCAGGCATGGAAAAAACTATCAAAATGTAAATCATTCAATTATTATCCCTACACACGATCAGTCATAGATTTTCCAGCATACAGGCACACACGCGCAGACTTCCCCTGGCATGACCAGTAAATCTCTCAAAGACACAATCCTATGATCTCCAGCAGCCCCACAGTGTTAGATCAAGAGGTCATACATGCATGCACGCTTACAGCCGACCTTCCCCCACAATGTATTTGAATGGTAAAGACCGTGCACACAACAGACAGTGTGCTTCTTGCTTAAGCTGCCGTGTCAGCCATAGCTCCCCACCAAGGTGGCGAAAAAATCCATCGAGTATACATTAGCTACAACTTAATTCAGATGAAGCACAGACACTGAAACTAGAGCAAGGCAGAACTGATCCAACTGTTTCAAGTCACACGTCTTATATCAGCGGTTGTCCGCCTCAGAGAGAAAAAGGTTTCATTCCAGGAGAGAAATTAAGCTGAACATCCTTGTGATTAACGTATGGAAAGCAGGAGGGTGAGAGATGTTGTTGTTGGAGGGAGGTTCAAGAGGGTGGACGGGATTCAAGGCTTCGCTCGCTGCCTGCTTTACTTGGCTCTGCTGCCTAGCCAAAAGCTTGCCAGGCGCACGTGCACAAAAATAATGGATGAACTGATCCTATGCACCAGTGCATTCGCTTGAACAGAGAAAGGAGGATAAAATGTGATGGGTAGGGAAATAGGGGTAGAGGGGTGGTAGAAGAAATAAATGATAAACACAACAGGAGGGTGTTAAAGTTTGACTTAGTTGTTTTTTAATCTCCTTGTGGTATTCCAGTTAAGTGTGAAACATTTATTTCAAGAAATACACCTTGTCTTGTATACATTGACTGGTCCATTTTCTGACCTGACGTGCCAGACGGTACATTTCCACAGAAACATCATTGGAAACCGTTAGGAAAAGGGCAGGAACTTTCAAAAATACTTTTCAGGTTATCCATAGAACCATCTGTTAATCTGACTATTGCCAAAAACAGTCAAGGAAAGCCTTCAGTGCAGTTTTTTGCTTTCCTTTCAATTAAGAAATATTCTGTGGTATTATAATTGGTCAGGACTATGGATGGACGGACACAAATGGACAGAATTCTTCTGCAATATGTGATCCTAGGATTCTTGTGAGATCTTGCAAGGTAAACCAATTTGAGCCAACCTTCGAAATCTTGGTGGAAGAGCCACATTTTCGTTGGATACGCACTACCAAATGGTGCGTTAGCTTGCAGAATATTCATCTGCTCTTGGCACCCATGGCATTCTGTTAAGATTTTACACTAAAATGAAAGCCTGGTTTCATGCCTTAGCCAACTAGTTAAGAAGCAGTTTACTTGTCATATTTGAGAATTCCTACCATATACATGGTAAGCAATGGTTACATTTTAGATTAATGAATACAATGTGTTTAATAGGTTTTTAAGGATCTGTTGGAGCCCTGTTGCATACATGCTCAACATTTCACAAAAACACATGGCATAACTTTCTTCTCCACTCCGCATCTTTCATCTTCTCTCCAGCGATCAGAAATCTGCTCTCTGAGAAATCAATGGACCCCATCTCCCCTGAGTGGCGTGCAGGCCTTTTCCCCTTTTTGTTTTGTTCTTGGAACCACCGCTGCATACTTGAAAAGCCGCTGGGTTTGCGTTCGAGACAGTGAGAGCTCAACAACTGCTGCATACAATATGAGCTCAGGCAGAGCTGAACAATACCAAGGTCGAGCTAACCACACGTCAAGCTGTTCAGGCAGGCAATGGAAAGAAGCGAGGAATATAACTTGGCATGGGACAAGACATAACGAAAGTGACTGTGTTGAGGCCAAGGACGGTCAAAGGTAACGTGAGGTGCCGATTGAAATTGAAATAAAACCCAGAGGTAGCAACACATTTTTACAGTATTTGCCAGTATGGTTGGTTACCCTAAAAAATGGTCATGTTACTTTCATTGTTCTAAACAGCGTAAAACCCCTCAATACTTTGAATGAGGAAGACAGTGCAGAACCAGATGCTCAAAATTAAATTCATTCCAACCGACCAGACTTTTTGAGGTTTTAGCTCCAGAGGAAAAAACATGCAGCCTTTTTTAACTGTGGGCGACCCGTGCGTGACACGTTGGTCGAGAGTTCAGTCTTGCCTCAAAGCCTAACCATACGAACTTATCAGAACGCTACACGCCACCATGTGCTCCCTGCCTCTCTTCCGCACTACATTTAATCACCCCGTTCGCACACACTTAACATCTCCATCAAACACTCACTCACCTACCCCAAGGCACACAAACACATGCACCTATGTCTTATATTAAAAGAGTCAGAGTGTGAACAAGGGCCCCCGAGGTTCTTCAGAGGTGTGCTTTTTACTATTGGACCGAGGTGTCTGCAACGTTGGAAGACAAGTCATATGATATCAGCACTGCTCTCACTCAAATACATTTGACTTGATGTGAGGCCCAGCATATAAGCTGTGGTAAAAAAAACTAAGGGCAACACACATAAAAACTGAAACACACACATGTAGAGATCACAATAAAACCATGAGCCAAGGTGCACATCTGTGATGTGTATAGTATATCATGGCAGGAAGGGAATGGCTTTTATAGACTGGGTTTACTGTTAAACCTACAGGGAGAAGTTTGTGTGTGTGTGTTGCTGTTTTTTTAACACAGTTATACAATATGAAAATACAATCTGCTGTGACTTATTTGTGAGCGTGTGACACTAAAAGGCAAACAGTTTTCTCATGGAGTGGTACATTTTGAGAGTTTTGACTGCTTCCATAACATGTTTTCTTTCAGACTGGTGGAAATAGTTTGATTGTCTATTTGTGTCTTTATCCAATGCTCAGACTTCTGTTAGGTAATTGTCTGCGAATAAGCACATATTTAATAATACAGCATAACATTTCAGACGACTTATAAGACAACACAATATTATCTTAGTACAAGTAATCAACTGGGGAAGTTTCATGGTGATATACTGTATGTAAGTTAAAAGTGTTACCCTATTCACCTGCTGTGTTATAGAACTGATTTAATTCACCACATGGCTGTCAGTAAGAACAGTAAACAACTCCCTCTCCTAACATCATCACTCTCCTTCTCTCCATTTGTTTATTGCCATTCCAACAAAAACGACCTGCTCTTAAAGCTTCATGCATCTACACACTGTATTTGTCTTTATCCCCCCCCCCCATTACATGCTAAGTTCCAAGGGAAGAGAAATCTGCTCTCTGAGAACAGCAGCCCATCCAAGATGTTTTAAATGTGTGATACTGCACTCCTCCTCTAATGTATTTGGGGAAAAAAGGTTCCGATTCTGTTAGGCAAAACTTTTGAGGGATCCAGCGGTAAAATGTTTTAAAAGATAATATTTGCATGTGGGGGTAGCAAATGGTCCAATGAGCTATTGACACAGGAGCAGGGGGAACACCTGCAGTCCACTCGAGTCAATATTCTTGCTGGATGACATTTTCAGAAAACAATGTCCTGCGAAAGCCTTCTTGGGAAGCGCTGCGATGCTCTGCAGACGTGAGCCCCGGGACTGTGATACATTCTGGGCCAGAACGGCCTCAGTGACCTCCGGGAAAGCTTCATTTCCTGTCCTCTCAGAGTTATTTCACCAGGGAAATGACACGATGGTGAGATACAAGCATGTGCACACGGTATGCTCCTCCACACGCACTTAAACATCAGCGCAGATGATTTAATGGGTCAACAGTGCTTACTGTATGTAAGCACACTTGAATGTGTAGCTTAAAAACCACAAGGGAGGGTAAATATTTAAATATCTGGAAGCTAAATTGACACCAGGCTGACTACATGGCTGTAGCAGTTCGTGTTTGCATGCTGGCCCTCATATGCCCACTTCAGCTTTATGTGAGTAAACACAGGTGATGGTTCAAGCTCCATTTGACAGATGGTAAACAAAGCAATAACAGCTGGCAGCGGAACCAGATAAGCAGTAAACTCACTAAGAGACAAACATAGCCAGTTTCCAAATGTCTCTGTTTATGGCTGTTTGTGATGAATCAAATGTATATTTGTAGGTAAGACATCTGGGCCATTACATTGGTTGTGTGACATGTCTCCATGCTTTAATGTTCAGAAAGCTCTTTATTTTTCTCATGCTGCAGCACCTCTTTTCACCCTCTGTCTGAAACCAGAGCCCATTCTGCTCTGATTGGTTAGCTGGCCGGCTCTGTTGTGATTGGTCAACTGTTTAGAGATGTCCCGCCTCTTAGTATATCACGTACAATTTGTTGGAGTGCTAGCCAATAGTGAACCGCAGTGGCGCGTCCTAAACCCCGGAAGTAAGTTAGCATTTTTACCACGTCCGGTTCCTTCGACAAAAAGCAATGCAATTTCTCCATAGGATTTTGGAAAATAGCTCCAAATAAGGTCTGTGTTTGACACAAATTGAAGAGACAGAGACATTTCTAAAACTTTGGGATTTTAGCCTTTGCAGACCATTTACATACACAAAAACCTATATGACACACTACAGGAAAAGGAAAACTCAAAAAAGCATAACCAACATTGTTGTCGTCCTGTCTACCTCTGTTCTCCTACATTACCCACAATGCTTAAGACATATTAAAGACATCAGTACTAATTCTGCTTCCAGTTGTTAGGTTTTAATTCAGTTGAGAAAGCAGGAATACAACACGTTACTAAACTCTTAGTGGAAGGGTTACTTTAAAAATGTATCCTGTTACAATTAAATATACACTTAAATTGTTTTAATAAGTAGTAATTTAATAATTTAACTTTGAAATAGATATTCTGAAGCTTGAACCTTGAAATAACTATTATTGTCGGTGTCATTATCACATTCCATATTCATTACCGCTAGGGGAACATATCATCCAAACCTTGTCACCTCGTTTTTTCAATGGGGATGACAATCAGGCAGTGAGTGGGTGCTCTGCTGACAATGTGCTGTTTTGTGCGCTCTGCCTGGCACCCTGCATGCCCACCATGTGTTTGTGTCCTGTGGCCCTGCAGAGCGGGCTTAGGGCACAAGGGCACCTCTTCACAAGCAGACTCAGCTGCCTCTCTGAAATACCGGAGGGAGGGAGGGAGTATCGGGCACTCATCCAAACATACAAATCAACGCATAGACACCACAGTGTCTCAGTAACGGCTGCCTTAAAGGAAAAAAGTACCGCACACACACTCTGTCAAGCAGAAAGTCCTCTTTTTTTTGTCACCCATTTGTCACCAAGGAGAGGACATTTACACGCTGCCCTGGCTTTCCCTGAAAACCCATATACTGTGGGACACACCTGCTCCCCACATCACTGAAAAACACATCTGCGTGCTAATGGGCACTCAGGGTACAGCCTGGGTGCAGGTGCATTACTGATCACAGACACTTTTGATGAGGATAATAGAATACACTTGAATAAAGTAAAAGGAGTTAGTGATAAATAGGGAAACAGAGTGGCTAAACACCTGCAAATTATCAAAATAGTAAAAAAAAGAAAATATGTCTCACTGTTGACCTGAAATACCTTTTAGCATAACATTCAGCATGTACCTTTTGGATAATGTACCATCTTTACAGTTTGAACTGTCCAAACGTTACACAATACTGATAGTACTGACTAAGGGAGAATCATAACTCTTCAAGACAAAGTTCTAAGTGATGTTGCCTTTACAAGCCTTTTTTGTGTATCAACTCTGGAAATCTACTGTGACATCAACTAGTGAGAAAAAAATAGCTTTACCACTCTTAAGAGTTACTAATAAAGGAGTATTGTGATATGTTTGTGCATTTGTATGATTTAGTGCTAAAGCAGGTTATGACATAAATGACATGACAAGATTCCACTCATCGCATTATTTTTTCCTGACATGCAAATCTTCAAAAAGCCTGTTTAAATAGATACGTTGACCAGATATAAGTCCACATTTATTGTCCCAGATTTACGTGATTCATTTTTTCCCTCATCTTATTACAACAACTCAAGCAAGTTGCTGGAATAAATGCACAAAACGTATGGCATACATCTGGAATCTAGTGTCTTCTTACCAGCCGTGTTTCTAGTTATGGTGTTTTGGATACCCCTACATGCACCGAAACAAACACAACCAAGCGTACGCACACTTGGCCTTCAAACACACGCATTTAACCCAGACATGACCCAGACACTGAGGCTACCCCGGGTTTATGTCACTCTGCACATTAGGTCTGTCACTTGTGAAAACTCAACACCCCCGCTTTTGGTCCAGACCACTGCATCATGCAACTGGCACGGGCTGAGGGACGGACTTAAAGTAGCTGCTGACGGGGGGAGAGGAGGGCGGTTTGTATTAGAGGTCTGTCCAATGTCCTTTTTTTTTTGGTAATGAGTGAAGCCTAACAGCTGTGGATGCCCATATCAGGAATAGAAATGATATCATTAATTGGAAGATATTTAAAGATTTTTTTTTTTTTTTAAATGTAACCCTGCCATGACAAGAGACAGACTTGAATGTAATACATGCGGCATTACCTCAACAAGTCCTATAGTAGGAATGCATGACTTTAAGGAGAAGTGAGCATTGCAGAGCTCTGTGGTGCCTGCAGAAGAGGAAAATGTCCTCTTACCTCATTGGCTGAGTCCGAAGTGCTGTTTTCAGATCTTCCACCACCTTGTTCCTCATTTCCATTTCCTCCTCGTCAAAGGCAAACAGGGTCTGCATCTGCAGAAAATTCGGAGAAATTAAATAAAAATTGAATTTAGTGAAACATAGAGCTGCAATGATAAGTCGATAAATTGATTCGTTGATCGTCAGAAAAACGTCTACTTTAGCAAATACAAAACTGTAGATTTCTTGCAAAATTGTGTATTATATCTTATAAAACTGATTATCTTTAGGCGTTGGACTATGAAAACAAGGTATTTAAACTAAAGACATAACTTAGGATATTGAGAAACTGGTATTTTATGACATTTTATAAACCAAACTTTAAGAGTATTCGAGAAAATAATCGACATATTGATCGATAATTATAATAAAAGTGAATACAAAGCTGATGGATATTGCTGAATTTTGGCTATCAAAGCAGGTGTTATTGGGCAAGCTACTGTACCTACTGGCAACAATTCTGTTTTTTTTTCACTTTCATTCATTGTTTAGTCGACACCAGAAAGGTTATCTTATTTTGGAAGCCATCTAACAATAGTACATATATAAAACATTGTTTTCAATTTGCATCACAGATAATTAGAGCCTCATTAGTAGCTCCCTCTTCCCATTTCGTTTCCCCTGTTTGAAGTTATATACGGTGCCAAAATAATTCAGGCAGGCAATTAACTCAAATCAAGCTACAACAAATCTTTAAAAAAAGCACTTAGACCGGTGGTAGTGTTAATTCATTTCTGCATCACTTAAAGGCTCCCCGCAGCAACATCAAAGAGATGCTGTGCTCCCATTAGTCAGGGCCACAGCGCTTCTGTTTAGCCTCTGCAGGCTTTTTCCAAGGCAAGTCACTGCCAACTGCTAAGGTTCAAACAGTGTGCGTTTCAGTGGAGTAGGCTAGTCAAAAAGCTGACTATTAATTTGCCTTGAATACATATTTGCTTGAATGTGACCCTGTTTTCCAGTCCTTAAAATATTTGTAAAAGAAAAAAAAGGCATACAGGTCATAATTCGGTACAAATATTCCAAATCAAGATCATACTTTTTGAGCCAGCGTTGCTAAGACATGTTGGACCCCATGTTTGACTAACTCACAATAGCTCTGTTCTAAGTGTTTAATCTAGAAACAGTGCAGTCATCCATCGCGTCGACTTAGCCTCAAGTCCAGATGGCTCGCGGACCCTGTGCCAAGAAGCAAACGCTCTGGCTCCTGTTTCTCTCAAGGAATATGTTCATAGTCAATGGGAAGTTGGACACAACAAGTGTTGGGGAGAATGGATGTTTTGGTCGTGCTGCGAGCCAGCTCAACGTGTCAATGGGTCTCGCCAAATGGCTCCTTGCTACATCTGCTATTCGTAAAGTCATTCCGAACTTTTAGCCAATGGGCACATGAGGATGCTATTACAGCCTGTTGGTAATTCAGCAGAAGGTACTTCCCTTAATCCGTATTATGGGAAGTGTCCCCCAGAGCCAGAACCATGCCCTCAAGCTGGTCATTGGTGCGTTGTTAACCCAGTGAGTGGTGAGTGCAGCTCATCAAAACCTTAATAAAGACCATGTGGGGCACTGATGCGCAAAGTAAAAAATATTTATTGAAATAGTTAGAGGCACAAAACATAATTAAGCTAACAAAAGACAAGCTGAAACATAGCAGTTACTAAAAAACTAACAACTGAAATGGATAGGAATGATGTGATCGGAAACATGTGGCATTAACAGCTCTGTTTAGAGTTCAACTGAGTGCCAGGTAGATGGTAAGAAACCATGTTGTTAACGTCACAGCTAAGCAATGTAGCTTGTAAACTGGACAGAACTTCCCAAAACAGAAGCTTTGCTATTAAGCTCAAGTTTTACTAGAGCACTGATGAGAACAGTGAATCAAACTTCAAAAAATAGATTTGACATCATTTAGAGAATGGTTGGGGAACTCAAAAACGTTTTCACAGTTTCTGAAACTTCAGAAATGGTTTTTGACTTACTTTATCAGAAAAAACAAATAAACATTTAAAGAGTCAGAACTGTGTTTTGTATATTTTGTGAATAGTGATGTTAGATTTGTTGAGGTATGGTAGATCATCCGTCTTTGATCATTTCATGTTACCCTTTGTTACCCTCCGATGTGCATCGTTTAAAAGGTTTTTAACTTATTTTGTAAAGAAAATTGAAATTGTCAGTTTACTTATCGATATCAGCCAAAAAAGCAGGTAACAAACATATTGTACGTTCTTATTGCACAGGTAAAAGTTGACTTTTAAATGTAGGCTACTTTAACAAATGTGTATCACGTTAAACAGGCTTCACTAAATAAACTGCTTAATTCAAATAAATGAAATCAGTTAACAGCTAAAAAACTAGATGTAACACTTGAAAGCACTCTAATGCCAAGGCTGCAGAAACCCTTGTCAGAGTCACAAAGACATTTGAATTATCACGCCAACCAACAACCTCAGGGCTCTGACTTTATGAATGAACATCAAGATGCTTGTTGTATCTCTCAGGGCGGCAATGACAAAATGAGCTCATCCAATAACTCAGCTGCTGTGAAGGGGCCTTCCCTTGTGAGCGCGGCAAGGGGCCAAGACATGAAGTCATGGACGAGCAGAGGACCTCCAAATGTTGAAAATCGCTTTTGTCACGATGCTGCCTGGTTCACGGTGCTGGAGAAAATGGATGATTGATGGTGGGAGTTAAAAAAAATTAAGGAATTGGAGGGAAATGGTCGACTAATAGTGAATAGGGGAGACTGTGGTCAAGTGATGTTTTACCAAGAGACTAATTGGAGGAAAATTGCAAAAATATCTTTCTGCCAAACCTTATTTTGATTTATTTTAATCAAAAAAACAATTGTTAAATAACTTTACATTTTAATAGACTTGTGTCCTTTCCTTTTTTTTTAAAAACACATTTTTTCCATCACTTGTTGTGCAATTCTATGCACTGAGACTTTCTAGAAAAGGCCTGGAGCAAGTGAATGCCAATATCTCATCTCATTGGCACAATGTTCCACTTGTTTTATTAAAAATGTCAAGACTTTAACACACATGACTTACAGACTCAGGTTGTTTTGCACAGTAGGTACAGTAAAAAAGGAAAAGTCAGGCTGAAACATAACTCTAACAGCGTGTCTGACACATAATAGCACAGAGGCACCGCTGCAGCCCTGGTGGATTTTAAATTCCTGGCAACTCACAAATCAGCACTTTCTCTCGACTAAAATACTGTGCATGTCTGCGAGAGTGTGTGTGTGTGCTGTCTGAGCCTTCAAAAGAATGACAGCAAAATTGTTTCTCCAGACTTGAGCTCAGGTACCTACAGAAGTAGCTTGTTCTCATCCCCGGAGTGGAGGCAGTAAACAAAAAGCTGTAAAAATAGCAACCCTTCACATGGGTTGTTGCTATAGGGTCTTTTTCACCAGAAAAACAAACAACATGGTAATAAACAGATATTAAATGCCATTACTTTTGTTGGCCCTACATTTATATTGTAAGTTATGGTTAATCACTTTATCTGATTTATGGCTTGGAAACACTTGGCTAGATTTAGAAACAAAATCGCTCTAGTCGGCTGGTTGAAAAGTACATTAAGACTTTCTCCACCAATGACTCTCTAAATGTCATGCTTACATGTCAACTTTGAAGAGCCCCTCTTAAAATGTCCTGTTTTATGCTCTGCAAACATTAGGTAGCCAACTTGTCGTCCACATAAGGACTCCGGGTCAGAGGTCACTGTCCCAAACTGGTCAGTGGCCGAATGTACAATCAAATCATAATACTAACACGGTGGTATGTTTAAAATGACGCTGTCTGGCAGAAGATGTCTTTTTGAAAGCATCACGCTGTTCTCACTGGCGGCCAAGGTTGCTAGAAAAAAAATGAATATTGTGTGTGGCTCTGTGTTTGACAGTCGTTCCTGCTGACTGAACTGCTGAGTGTTTAAATGGCCCTTTGTCATCACAGTGTGTATGTGTGTGAATGCCGGGGTCACAGCGCAGGAATGTGGCCATGCGAATATAACGAGCAGTCAGCAGGGACACGATAAAAATGAGCCAAGATTCTGAGAGGGGATGACTGAGTGAACAGTGACCTCTCATGAGTGGTGGTCAGATGCTCAGTAAGTGAATTATATAGTAATTATGAGGAGGCGAGACAGGCACTACACACAAACATTTTGTTTTTACAAGTTTAAGAGAGTGCTATTAAAGGTGGGGTAGGTAATTCACTTTTTGTTATATTCCATGGAATGCTCTTAACATCCCGATAGCAATGAATACATTAAATGCTTTGACAATAAATACATACTCCTTACAAAGCTGACTCATTTCAATTTTTCTGCAGTTTCTATACATTGGTTTAAGTCTTACTTATCGAACAGAAAACAGTGTATTTTGGTCAACAGTGCCAAATCCCCCTACCTTATCAACCCTGTTGGGGTTCCACAAGGTTCCATTCTTGGACCATTACTGTTTTCACTGTACATAAATGACTTGCCTAATGTATGTCCTGAGTTGAATGTGCAAATGTATGCCGATGATGCGGTCATCTTTGTACACAGGAAAAACACTGAAATTATCTCATGTTGTCTCAAAAGCTTTGGACAAGGTTCAGCACTGGCTGAACAACATTTGCTTACAGTTAAACGTAAAAAAAACAGTATGCATGATGTTCAGTAAACGACCAGTAAACGACCAATCTAAGGATCCAATGTGTTTTTAAACGGAGCAGAAATAAAACTAGTCTCCCAGTTCAAGTATCTTGGAGTCATATTGGACTCAAACTTGACTTTTAAGCAACATATTAAGAAAGTATCCAATAACATGAAATTCAACTTGCAACATTTTAAACAAATTAGACCTTTCTTAACTATCAATGCTGCAAAGTCATACCTCCACTGTATGATTCTATCCCACATTGAATACTGTTTTACAAACTGGTCGTTTGCTTGTGCCACAAACCTGAAACCCATAGAACAGCTGTACAAGAGGGCTATCAAGGTGTTTGACAGAAAGCCAAATTCATACCACCACTGTACCATCCTTGAAAAATACAATTTCTTAAGTTTTGACAATTTTAAGTCTTTTAAAAGTATGTGTTTTATTTATAAATGTTTACATGGACCCCCTCCCCTTAGGGGAATTCATCCACAAAAACACACTGGACGCTGCACTAGGTCAGAAACCAGAGGAGACTGTGAAGTCCACCGTAGACGGACCACTTTTGGACAAAATGTCCTCTCCGTTAAAGGCAGCTCATTCTCAATAGTTTTAAAGGTGAACTAAAAGAATGGTTGAGAAACAAACAGACGTGCAATCACCGCTAAATGCACTTTAACACAGGGGTATCTCCTCTTGCACTTTATGTAGCGCTTGTATCTTCTCTTGCACTTTATATGTCGTTGCTGCTATATTCTATTACCATGTCATAAATACTTGTGTATGCTGCTCTTGCTATTTTGCACTTTTTGCATATCATGTATTTTGTTTTTGCTATGTTTGTAAAATGTAAACTTGTTAAATGTTTTATGTGAGGGACTGCGGATGGAAATGAGCTCAAAGCTAAATCTGGCACTGTTACGCTTGGCACATTTGTTATGTTTTAAGTGTTCATCACTGTGCATTGTCCCTGCCAAATAAACGATTAAATGAAATGACATTAAAAAAAGATCATCTGTGGAAGCCGTGGTGCTGTAAAAAGCATGACCAATTATCTGAGCCGGCCCGGCTAAAATAACTGGATGGCCTACCTGCCTGTCAGCCTTCCATCTCGTGCACAAACTTATCTTGTGCCCTCATTGGTCATGTGCGGGTTTGTGTGTGTTGGAGGAGGGGCTCTGTAAGGAAGTCTGAAGGAAGGGGCAGATTTTTTCCGGTTGTGTACTTTCAAATTCTAGCGCACTCGAGCTGATTTCTCCATTCGTACCTACCCTACCTTTAACCTGTTAAGCCCTGAGCCTGTTTTTCAGGTGTCAGGCTCGAAAATGACATTTTATTTTAAAGAAAATTCAGATTGAACATAGTAAAAAACTGTAAATTATAGTGTCCGTCCAAAAATTATTTTTTACTTATAGTGAAAACTACCCTTGGATGATGGTAAGGTAGACTAAAAGCTTTAAGTTTCCCTTACAATAATAAGTACCCTGTATCAAGATTGATGTAAAACTAGTGACATTTGACCTTTTTAGAGAGATTTAGCAAAAAAAACACACTTCTGGGGTCATTTGGGTGGATTTTCCATATCTCTGGCCCCCCTTGGTCGATTTTGACGAATGAAATCTCTTTATAACCGCTAGAGCCAATGGAATCGAAGGGGGATTTCCCCACACACACACGGTAAAAAAGGTGGGGGCTTTGCGCATTCAGGTTTGCATCAGAGTGAACCTATCTCTCGCTCTGACATCTGGAAACGGAAAAGCAGGTTTATTGCTTATGGATTATCAGAAATCATTTCAAAGGGACACAGACACATTGGACTAACCTATGGATTAACTTCAGCAGCGTTTTTATCGTTTTAATACCATTGAAGACCACTTTTGACCAGACTACGACACAGGTAAACCATGTTAGCGTTTTTAGCTACCTAACGCCACATGTTTTGATGTCTGTTTTTGTTTATAAAGTCGCGAGTTCTAATCATGGAGTGATAATGTCTGTACCCATCGATTCTGTGTCATCTCACGATGCGAATCAATGGGTTGGATGTGCAGAAAGGATAAATAATAAGGTTTTATGAGTGAGTTTCGGTGCAGTAATCTGTTAACAGTTTTCGCTCGTTGCTAATTCAGAGGCTCAGCGTTAACATTCTGGGGGTTTTTTTGAGAAAAAAAAATTAAAATGATCAGTTGGATGAGTTTATTCCCGTTACATGGATATAAAACATTCATAGTTTATTAAATGTTAAGATGCCCTCAGACACTGTTTCCTGCAAGATGTTGAGGGAGGGCCCCGGTACCGGGGTCTCTCGGGCTTAACAGGTTAAGGGGAACATAACATGTCTCCTTTCAGACTTGAGGACATTTTCTTTGTACAGTATTGGGTGTATAATTTCCTCGTAAAAAAAAAGGTAAGCATAAGATAATGCCTAATTTGCATACTTGTAAAAAAGTACACATTCAGAAAAATTGTAATTAAAACAATTGCCTTAATGTAAGTAATCAACTGGGTTAGTTTCATACTGATTTGTATTAGGTAATGCTACTAGTGTCTTGCAAGTGAATTTTACAAATCTTTAAAGGTCGAATTGTGATAAAAAAAGATACAAATAAGATTGTCTCTGCTTAAAGGTTGGAAGCAATATGTAATATATTGTATTCAACTGGAGATTTTAGTAAAAGTGAACAGACTTACAGCAGCCATGGAGTTGATGCGGTCGATGTAATAGTCAGGCCAGCTGGTCGCAAGCTTGTTGGGATCCTCTTGCTCCTGTGCATGGACACAAAGAAAGATTAAGTCAATTTAAAATAGCATAGCTCTGATTGTTTAATGGTTATTGCAGGTAAATCATAGAATATAAAACCCACTGTGGCTTGAACATACACACAGATGCAAACATTAAGCAGATGTAATAATCGAAAAATGTGTTCCCGTCCATGTACATGAACGCACTCTTAAGTAAAAACTCTTAAAGCACTGTAAACGCTCTGAACATTGAAATATTACACATCCTCTTCCAAGTTACCACATAACAACTTAATGCTCATAAACGCATCAAAATTGGAGAACCACTTCCCAATTTAGGAACTTTGACTATACGAGGAGCACGTAAATGCACCATGGGCCTAGAGAAGGTCCACGCTCTCCGAGTGTCATTATAGTTTATCAATTATTTCTCTAACTGTGGGAAACAGCCAACAATGAGCGCCATTTCAGAGGTCTACCCAGGAACACGGTGCTCAATGATTATGATGATGTCCCTGATATGTCCTTGAGCACCTGGGGTCCAAACTCCATCAACCGTCTGCTTTCATGTAGCACTGCCATCAGGTCAAAAGGCTCCATAGTTTCAACTCCTCCATGACAACATATGTAAAACTGAATTTACTGATTTCCATGAAATTTGCCATGAAGATGGTTTCTACTCAGAAAATGAATCCTAAGGGTTATGCTGAGCCTTTGTCATCTCCACTAGAAGTACTATCAGTACAAGTTCTAAGTCTTTTGCAATTATCAGTACTATGTCCATTTCTGAAAGACCTGAATCACGGGGTGGATACACACACTATTTTTCACTTATGGAAACAGCCTTGACGGAGGTTTGCTCTCTCCGAGTGCCCTTCTAGTTTCATACTATTTCACTCTTCTAGTTTCCTTTTCCCCCTTTCTACCTTAGCTGCACACTTCAACATCCATGCTGACTAAATGGATGAGGCAGTCCAGCCCACAATAACTGGGTCACAAAATCTCAGAGTATTCACTTGTCTTAGCTTTTATTACAACATGACAGAGAGAAATAAGAGAGAAAGAAGAACTGCCTTGAGGAACGAAGTGCACTCCACAACAGTTTTCAAATCGCTCTGTCTGAGATCAATTAGTCCTGGCCAGTCGGAGGTAGCGTGATGCCATGAGCAACCAAGGCACAGGGGAATACAGAGACCATGTTCCTCGTTCACATCTGGTCTTGTTTAGCTCGGGCTTAGAGCACTGGTGTAGCATTGTTGTTGTTCTTGTTACTGTGTGCAAGTAACAAGAGCTGGAAAACATACATGGTATGCAACATTAATGCAAAATGTGATTTGTTAGATAATAGAGAAATACTTGCCAAAATGTATAATACAACATAAATATAAATGTTACTTGATCCACAAATTAAGAGGGCATTTAAAAAATAAATGTGGCGTAAAAGCAGTGCAATGACCAACTTTTGGTTCCAAAGACCCTGTAAGTAATTCATTTATTGAGATCCCCAACATACAAAAGGATTATAATACCTACCCTAGCCTGTAGAAGCAGTTACAGTTAGATCAGTTGAAATAACCCTACGAGAGACCATAATGCTTAGCATACAGATTGTTGAGATATTGTCAATGAGACTTTGTTGCAGCCATCAGGGGCCAACTAAGCTCTCCGATAGCTGAATCTCATCAAGTGCAACAACTTCATTAACTACAAAGACGTTCATGCTGCAGCAAGACCTCATCAAATCTCACTGGGCTCCTTCTCGGTATAGAAAATCAATATTTCCTGCCACCAAATCCCTTCATTTCTGAAATGTAGCTTTAATACTTGCATGGCGGTACAACACAGCTTTAAGCTAATTACATTTTCTGTAATTAAGCCAGAAAAACTCCATTCTGGGACAGGCCTCAATCGATTGTCCCCGGAACATAAAACCTTCTTTTTATGACCACTAACCCAATGAACTTCCAGTCTGGACATAAAAAGGAGCTACAGAAACAGAACATCCACTGATTTGTGAGTCCTATACACTCAAGCAGCTCCACCAGAGACTTTTTTGGGTTGGAGGATAAAGTTGGTCGATGTGGATTCCAGCCCTGGTTAAGACCGCCGTTTCTAATCTACGGTACTCTGTGCCAGCATTTGAGCACGAGCTAAAGAGCTGGGCAAAAACAATAGAAGTCACTGTACTACTCAGCTTGTGTTTTGAAGCTGGCCGTCGTTTCCACTATACTTGCTGACACGCTTGGGACGGGATGCCAGACAGATCCTGACGCTGAGATTAACAACTTAACTGCCTCTCTCTGGCCCTTCAGCCCAATTACAGCGGCCGACACGCCCTCAAAAACATCAGGTCGAGTCCAATGCAACATTTACTCTGGCAGTTTCACGAGCCAGAGTAAAGTACTGTAATTTTGTCTTGTTTTTGGATAAATGAAAAATGATTGCTACATGAGCTCTGTTATGAGGGTCCTGGTCTTATCAGTTCATACACTTCCTGAATATTTGCCCTTTTAATGGCATTTCTTAAACAGTGAAGTGATCTTGGGTGCTTATTTTTGAATCACAGTTGATGAGTGGTATTAAAATCTCTGGATAAGAAGGCAGACTCCAAATAAGTGGGGCCTTTTACAAATTGAAAGTGCTAACAGCAGGCTTTTTATATGAATAGAGAGAGTGTATTCACATGTGTATCATAGCATTCAGCATTTATTTACTGTATATGCATGCATATTGAGTATACTACTGAGATACCAGTCGCGTGCTTTGCTGCGACAGTTTAAGGTCAGCCCCGTCATTCCATTACAGCAATTACACACTTACACTACACTGTAAATTCCTCACGTCTGGTGACATTAAATATGATTTACAATCCAGGTTGCAGCAAGCAAACGAGGACAGGAATCCCCAACAGTGTATCAGGTATATGTCTGTAAGGTGTTCCTCTTGTTACAACCATCTGTTGAGGGGTATATTGTTTCTCCAAAAGAGCCAAATACTTGACTAAAGCCAGGGTTCAAGAATATTTCTCTGTGTGTTTGGCAGACTATTGAGTTTGCAGTGGCACCTGTTGAAAGAGATTAAATTACTATTTCAGCTCCCCCGCTGTCATGCAACAAGCCGCCTTACAGATCTCAAACCTCCTCAAAAGGTTTGAATGACAATAACGTTTGAGTTCACAGATTGTAATAAACCTATGCACATATACATTTCAAGTCAAGGTTTCAGAAACAACAGGACGTAGAAAGTCAAAATACTCAAATGGCCAGTTAAATCCTTAGATGTGTCATGCGAGGTTTCTACTGTTTGCTTGACTCCTAATATATAAAAATGTACAGTTCATCAGGAAATCCAAACTACACATTTTCTCGCCTGTTTGGGTTTGGGCTACTAAGGGTTTGATTTATCATCCATTATTAATCTAGGAAAAAAATTATTTCTACTGTATCATTGCGCAAAAGTTGGTTTATACACATGGACAAGCTGCTCTCATGATCCAGTTAATGTCTCCTCTCCATTTTAGCAAAGTCTTATGTCCAATAGCAGACATACATTTCCTACTTCCGAGGTGAAATGGTTGACGATGTAGTTTGATCAAAAGAAAATAGTCCCTACATGACTCAGCTCAAAACAAAGGTCACGATTTCTTGAACGAGACATTGCTGTAGAGTTTTTAAATGTACTTTTTGGACCTTTGAGAACCACAAGCGAAGCACCATCTAGTTCCATTGGAGGGAAGGCAGACATCCCTACGGCCAATATTTTTAATACTGGGCAACTTACACCTTCATTATTTAGATAATAAAATAGGACAACAGGTACTGTAAGAGGAAAAATACATCTTGTTTGGGTTTTAAAAGATGAGCAAGACAACAGAGATATTACAATGTTCTTGTTTTTCAGTCTGTGGGCTTTGGCAGCCAGCTTGGCCAAGTTATTTCTTTAAGCGTAGTCCAACTATTCTCTGCCAGAATCTATACATCGCCTCTCAGTGACATGCAAACATGTTTCCTTGAGTTCTTCAGTTTCTCTGGCAATTGAAGTGCTCCTTAGGTGCCTCAAACTTTGTTCCCATGTGCTCAGAGGGGCCCTGGGGGACCCTGACTGCAATGTGGGCGCTCTAATAAGCTGTACGAAACCATCGGTAAGATGCACAGAACTGAATTAAATACTGTATATTCACAAAGAACACTTCATAAATAAAGAAGGGACAGAAAAGTACTGCATAAAAAAATGGGGGGAAAAGGCCATTTACCAAATGTTAAATATTGTAGATCAGTTTTGGACCCAAGCAAAGATTCTTCTAGGCCATTTTCAGAAGCAAACAGATATAAATGAATAAAATACTCTTGCAAAAAGACTCGGAATTATAGGATGTAAAACTTTAATGATCTCCTTGGCAACGTCAAATGAGCACAAGCTCGACAATGAGGTTAATGTGTCTATTTTCACTGCACCAACATTCCTTTTGCATACACCAAATTATTTACATTGAAATCCCTGTATAGTTCATTACTGACAGTAGCACAACTACAACAGCATGGTGTTTCAGCAGGACAATGGGATGCATTAGCTATCATCTATGTGTATATCTGTGTATATTTATGTTTTTCTGCACTTGATGCTGCAGCTGACCCCACAATACGTTCCTGTCTGCGCAACCAGTGGGATTGTCCAACATTCCACAGAGCCAATGTCTCTGCAGGGAATATTTATCTATGGAAGCTGGGATATAGAGTCTCACCAAGAAAGGCAGGAAATGGACAGGATATTGAATTCTGGACGATTATGTAACGCCTGCCGTCTCTTACAGGTACACACGTTTTAGCACATTCTCAAGCAGAAATAGTTGCCTGGGGTCACATTAGTTTAAGGGATGGGGATAAAGCGCATGTGGATGATAAGACATAAGCTGCTGCCAAGAGGGTACAACGTGTGGATGCATATGGGACGATCAGGCGGCGCATGTTAAGCAAGGCATTCCACTCACAGAGATGAGGAGAACACGTGGTTGGATGATTTCGGACAGCAAAGATTATATTCAGAAAATCCTCTTTTGGGAAATTTAGGACAGTAGAAAATATTGTGTGTCAGTGTTTTGATAAAGAGCCATATTGTGTGACTGTTGGCTGAAAACACAGCGTGTGTGTCAGTGCTGCACTACTAATAGGAGTCCGGAGACCGTGTTTGGCTCTCAGCACTGAATTATTTTTTAGGAACTATTAGATGATACATCCTGTTCTCTACCTGGAGGCTGTTGGACGCGAGTCAGGCTTGGAAAAACAAACAAACAAGTACACACACACACACACACACACACACACACACACACACACACACACACACACACACACACACACACACAGCACACACACACACACACACACACACCACACACACACTACACACACACACACACACACACACACACACACACACACACACACACACACACACACACAACACACACACACACACACACACACCCACACACACACACACACACACACACACACACACCACACACACACACACACACACACACACCACACACACACACACACACACACACACACACACACATCACACACACACACCACACACACACACACACACACACACACACACACACACACACACACACACACACACACACACACTTCACTCATGCAGAGATGTACTCACGCCAAGACTTTTTCATTGGACACTAGACATGTATACAAGCCATCCCTTCATTCTCACGCTTACCGAGAATGATGTCTACTCTTTCTCACACGCACACATAGACACACAAACCCCCTGGCTGTGGCTGACTGGGTGGCTGAGATCAGAGGTGCAGATACGGTCAGATTATATAAAGCTTGAAGGCCTGGACAAGATGTTCAAGTTAGTCATGGTACACAGAGACCATATTTACGCTAATTCTCTTACTTCATTGCTGACTGGTATTAGCGAGAAGAGGAGCGTATGTGACTATTCCTAAAGAGTTTGGATGTTGGAGAGGCTTGTATGGTCTATAGATCTTGAATGTTAATGTTGCATTCAACAATATATTTACATTAACAGTGAAATGATTTTGTGTGATATGAAAAGGAACTCTTGCAGCAACAAACCCACAGAGAATCCTCTGCTTAAGGCAGCCAGTGTTGAATTAAAAATCTTAACAGATGTTGAAGATATGACAGGCGTCGAATATGACATGTAATCATCATTTTCTGATGTCCTAGAGGTTTCTCACAGTTTATTGGATTGTTAATATTTAATGTGTTTATTATTGTGATTTGGAATCAGTGAGGGATCTAAAAACACACTTTAAACATACAGTACATCACACTCCAGCTAAATGTGTCTTTAGAACCATCAAGAGCAGAAACATTAGCTTGATTCTCATGCAGTGCATCCTGCATCCTTTAGCCTCTTTAGTTTGTTGTTTTGGCACAGCATGAACATTAAATGTATGTCACTGATTAGCAAGCCTGTTTCGAGCAGCAGCAGCAGGTTCTTTTTGCACCTCCACGCCAATACAACCACTGCACGCTAGCTCCCTTGTGAGGAGATAGGAATTGTGTACCATTTTATACCATTGGAACAGCTTGTAATGTGCCATTTTTTGCGATAGAGATTTGCGAAAGTCTCGATAAAGAATTATGGTTAGGCATTGACCTTGAATTGTTAAAAGTAAGGTTAGTAAAGGCCCTTCCAGCATCGAGTCTGGCAACAGTTTGAGAGGTTTACAAATCCAAGGTTCTCTTCTAGACTCGTTCTAAGATGGTGGTGTCTAGAGAAGTAACCCAAGATTTGTGAAACTCTCAACAGGGGATAATGGTTGGGCATTGACCTTGACTGGTAAAGTAAGGCTTTTACCTCAATGTGAGGTATGGATCGGTGGTTGGGCATCAAGTCTGCCAATGTCTTTTGAGAAGTTTTGCAAATTGAGGGTTTTTGCCCTCAACCATCTTTGCTTACACAAAGACACAGGGAAGCCATATTGGGTCAAAGCAACTAGACAGCAGTTCTAGTGAAAACTCTGCATATAAAATTCGATCAATATCTGAATTTAAATATTAAGCTGGTTTTATTAGCCTGACCATTTACCTCCTCAGCTTCTGTGAAAACATAAGATTCATTAGATTTGGAATATGTGGTTTTGACCAGCCAGTAAACAAGTGGAACTGGCAAAGTCGCAGTGATTCACAATAAATGTGCAGTTTGTGTTGCAGGTGAACAAAGTTAGTTTGTCCCTCTGTCATGCCCTCAGTTGCTCCCTCCAAGTGTTATCTAACCACAACAACTGGAGCCGTTGTTTGGCTGGAGCAAACAAGGGGACCAGTGTTTGTCGCCGACAGGAGCGGCTGGGGTAAATTCTGCTGTCCTCTGCTCCCCATTCAAAATCACTGTCATGCTGTCATTTTCAGGCATACAGGGCACTTCTGTGTGGTGTGTGTGTGGGTTATGTCTTCAAAACCTGCTTCTTTTCCTACATTTATGTGGTTCTTCATGTCTGTGTGGGTGTGTTGCACGTAAGGACAGTATTCATGCACACACAGACAAGCAGGTTATTTTCCGATATTGCACGCCAGTTGTTTTCCCCCCTCATTCTCCATTACGGCGTCTCTATCCATGAATGAGGGGTTTGTTTGGTTTTCCTGCGGCCTTCCGCTGTGCACTGTTACCCGGGTTTTGCTCTCTGTTTCCTGGCCTGGACATGCGGCTGTTTCTTTTTTTTTTACCTTAGCCTCGGAGAGGAAATGATTTCTGACTGGGAGGGATGGGGCAGGAATGACAAACTAATATATCCTACCTCTGAAACCGGCTTAGGCACGCACTGCAAACCTTTTTTGTTCCAATATGATGCTGCCAAATTTGGTTTCCACTAGCTTATACTGCAGTACAAAGAGTCTTCATAAACATCTGTGGTTGCTTCAGTAAAATATGTAATAACTGATATAGGAGTATTATTGAACTGGCTCCTTTTATGTGGCTTCACGAATGCAAAAGCACCTTCTGCCAACAATTCCTTCCCTCTACTACAGCACATTGCAAGTTATCATAATGTATTAGAAGAACGATTACATCCTCCTCTTGAATTATTTTTGACCCGTATTGCATTTCCTTGTAAACTGGTGTGGCGCTTCAGCTTCCATCCTCGCCTTGACATCCCTCTAAACACACCACAATTCCACCGCTCTTCTTTTTCCTCGTAACTCAATGCTGGCCTCAATACAAGTACAAACTTTTACACATGCAGGTGCACACACACTCACGCGTGCACACACACACACACACACACAAAGCAGTGTGTGTTTACTCCTTTTTAAATAGGTTGTCAGAGCCTATCATCTCAGCTAAGCCTGCCTGCCATGGAAAGAGAAAGGAGGGGTCCGATCCTCGTCCCTGCTTCCAACAGAAAAAGCTCATCCAAAAAACAAATTAGCAAAGAGACACAAGGGAGGGTTTATTGCTATTTATTCAATTTGCTATTGAGTGAGAGAGGGGGGCTCAATTCCCCTTTTTCTCATAGCACAATGTCATATCCTGTTGGGTTTTTGACCACAAAGTGAGACCAGAGTTGTTGTGGAGAGACACGCTGAAGGCTATTAAGAGAACGAGAGATGTTTTGGCGAGGGGAGAGGGGTGAAAGAGAGGGCTGACCAGAATGTTCTAGTGCTCCGATGGTATGTTGACAATTCTTAAACAGCACAGGAAAATGACTTTCTCCAACATGGGGAAGGAGATCTAGAGATTGAACATATTGAAACAATGAACTGTGTTGTTTACATGTATGTACTGTATGTGCATAAAGGAAAATATGAGAGTCAATGTAATATGGGCACATGTTTACGTCAATGCTGCAAAGAGGAGCTGGAAAGGGGGCAGGCGTGATTCAAAATGGGCTGTACTCTTCAATAACATTCATTACTGACAGTTTAGCTGTAAACTGTGGCTTCAGGCAGCCATTCAACTGAGGGCCAGCCAGAGATTAGAGCTGATGAACAGTAAACCACAGCAGAGAGCAACGTACCTTCTTCTTGCTGCAGTAGATCTGCCATTTCTTTTCATCGGGCAGAGCGAACATGGCCTCCCTGTTCTTGTCCGTGAGGTCCAGTTCATCCTGCAACAACAAAAGAGGCCGTTTTAGCAACACAGTATTTGTCTTTAAACCATTGCACACATTGTTGTTTCTACTAGAACATGTGGATATGCTTTTAGGCTGAAAAAACTAATTATTTTTCTCATTAATTATATCACAATTTACATTCATTCACCCTGAGTCTTAAACGCGCCTCTCTCTTTAAGCCCTGCTGCTGGAGAAAAAAAGCCCGGTCCTCTCTGCTTGGTTCTCACGTTGCTAGTGAAGATACCCAGAAAAGAGGACGATATCAGGGCTGTGAAATATATATATATTATATTTTGATATTGAAATACATATCGTCTTTGATTTTGGATATTGAGATATGGCAAGTGTTTTCTTTCCTGGTTTTAAAGGCTGCACTACAATAAGGTGTGTTTTTGTATGACTGTTCTAGCTGTTATGTTGTTTACCTTTACCCACTGTATCCACATTACTGATGACTATTCATCATTAACCTCACTGTGTGAGTATTTTGTGAAACAGTAAACTCTATGATATTGTCACAATAGCATTTGGTAAAAATATAGTGATACTTTATTAACTCCATCTCACACACTATGTGGTATTTTCTAATAAGCCTCAATAAAACATACTGGGTTGTCTCTTTTCATAGTGTTTTGGTTGGTAGTCACTCCACATCCCAAAATGTCCTCTTTCAAAGTAATCACAGGGAGACATGAATACTACCAGCCCCATCCTTCGGCACACAATCCGACTATCCCTTTTGTTTTGTTGTCACCACATCAATACGGAGCCAAAGATTTTTAGCAGTGACTGCAGATCATTGGATGAGTTGAGTTTACACAACGACATTTGATTGTCTGACCCCCCCACTGTCTGAGAACTGGTCTCCGCAGACCACAGAGGAGGGTTTTAATATTCACCCTGCTGCTCTGCTCAATTCTTCCGCTCAGTACAAGGAGCCTCCTGTACCTTTTGAAATGCATATGAGGCCCGGAAATGAGTCTCTGTATGCATGGGAGGAAAAAGTAAAGTCTCGGAAAGAGAAGTACATTTAAGTTGAAGGGACAATGAGAGAAATGGAGGAAGGAGACAGAACAAATAAAGGGGCTGTGCGGTTCTGGAAATGGATGAGGACAAAAAAATTGAGGATGAGATGCCATAGCTTTGTGCTCTGCCTCAAACTAATCTCATGATAATGGTTTTGCTACCATGACGTCAGGCAGAAGTGCTGGGCCTCCAAGGCCCCCCAAAGTGAAGATGGCTACCAGCGCCAGAGGTGGGGCCCCTTAAAGCCGGCCAGTAGATCCACAGGGTTTGTTTTCATCCATTCAGCTGGACCGGGTAGGGTGAGGTGGCCCACATTCCAAGTACCCGATACTATGAAGGATGACATCATCTCTCACACAGTGCTTTCAATGGGAGAACCAGCAGCAGCATGATTGTGGTTTTGGCAAAAAAGGAAAAATGTGAAGGGTGTGAACTTTAAGGGGGTCTAATACAGATAGAAACCACAAAGAAGCTTTGGAATCTTTGGTCAAAGCCTCATTTCATCTTAGCAGCATGAATTAAAGAGTGAATTGTGACTCACAACGAGAGCTTATCATCTCGCGTCTACATTACCTGCTGCAATAAATGAATACCATTGATATTAGTGTGCTGTTATTTGTGGCCTGTGCACTCTCAAGAAGAAAACCAACCATCTTTGCAGCTAAACATCTAACCACTGACTCTTCGTCCTTCAATTTTTACAGATTTTAGCTTTGGGTTGGACCACGATCCTCTGTCCACATCCCCAGGCTTTAAAACCGAGGCTGAGAAGCCAGCTCGTCTCTGGCATGTGGCCCGGTCGCCGGGTCAAAGCCCCGCTGTCCAAGCTGCTGCTGTTTGGAAGAGCTGATACTAGGAGTTGGTTGGGAAATCAGCGAGAATGAGACCCCTGGATTTGAACCAGATGGGAGCTGAGCCCAGTACTTGATCTCTTTGCTCTTTCTTGCTCTCAATATCTTCTCCCCAGGCCTCTCAATGTAAGGTCTTATTTGGAAGTTATAGGAGAGCAGGATATACATAAGCAATGAAAATGAGGATTAAGGTGTCCCAGACATGCAGGTTCAACAGTTTAGCGGAGCAGGTAAGCTATCGGAGGAATCAAGAATTCCACTTAAAAATAGGTATATGATTACATAAGGCCTTTACATAAGATTGAATACGTGTGAGGATAAAGGCAAAGTCAAGTATGGCAGCATGAACAGGAAAACAGGAAAGGAGTGGCAGGGTGGACCAAAGGCTAATGCATCAGGAGATTTTGTAATGAGAACTGCATGTTTCATTTAGTTGTTAGTTAAGCAGAAGGGTCACCAATCTTATCAGAGAGAGGAAAGATTAAGTTGAGGATGAAGACAACGACTTTTCTATCCAGTTATGCAATATTTTACCTTTTTCTTTCACCTCCAACCCCCAAATTACTTACAAACTTGCTCCAACATGACAGCTCCATCACATGGCCTGTCCAAACAAGTAAAACCCACAAAACAACCAAATTCAATCTTCCAAAACAAAACAGGACCGCTTTCCACATTACTTGTAAAAGCTTCTCTTGATATGCCTCCGTCCTCCTTGGCCAGCACACTCCAGTCGGGAATTCACATAAACCAAAACTAATATTGTAACACCTGCTGACCGAGAGGCGAAAATACATACCTAAGGCTTCTCAACCTTTTCTTTTTCATATTTCCTCCACAAACGCCTTTTGAATACCGTTACAAATTCCAAAAAGATGTCACGGTTGTGAGCTGTTTAGATCTTTTAAATGTTTGTTTCTCTAGACTGATGAGCTTTCCGTATTTGCTGACATTCACAAAATATATGGTGTAGAAAGATGGCGCTTAAAGCGGGAAAAAAACAGGTCTTCTACCACAAATTTGATCAAATAGTCATTTTGAAACAATTGAATTTCATGTCATCATTCAATAATTTAATATTACTTCTATTCCGCAATATAATTTTGAATGTTGTATGTATTTTCTATCCTGTTAGCTCTATGGATTCATAAAATCCAAAAGAAAGCACTTTAAAACCCTTTTAACTTGTCTTTATTTTACCATAGTTGGTAAAATCTTAGGAGTTTGTGCCACTCACGTCTCACACTTTGTATGCATCACACAATGTCTAAAATTCACTTTCAATTCTGTCTCAACATAGAAGATGTTGGTAATGTACTCTATGTACATTTTTTCTTTTGGACAGAGTCAGGCTAGCTGTTTGCACCTGCCTTATGATATGTCCTACTATTCCTCTAAATAGCAACTATTCAGAGTTGGAATCACTGGGAGATCTTTAGGGAGAATGAGCTTAGTTACTACATGAATGTATACTCCTACTGTAATTCCCATCAGGGATTATGATGAAGAAGATATATATATTTTCCAGCAGACATGTCTTATATATTAACATTCATTTGTATGACATAATAGGATTCAGATGATATACGTTTATGTATACCATATGGAAAGCATGTAAAGGAAGAGACGGATGAGTAGCAATGACACATCAGAGAAAATTCAGAGTAGTGTGGGAAAACAGAGATGAACTGAAGGACAGGAGTATGGCAAAAGGTTGACAAAAAAGTAGAGAGTGCAGTTGGGATAAAGATGGAGGCAATGCAAACTTGACACCAAAATGTTAGCGAAACAAACTCCACAGGAAGAGTAAGGGTCAGTGAGTGAGTAGGTGTGAGTGCCTGGCATACTGTAGGAGTGTGAGTGGGTGTGTCTCTATGACAACTAACTGAGGATGTGTGAGGCTCCACCTAAATGGGAAATGTGTGTGGTCCAAGAATTACATCCTTTCACACGCATGTGCGGCTATGAAGCAGCGTTTCCAGAAGGCACGTACAAGTTTCTACCTCATGTTGAGTCTTACAGTATTGGCAGAGGGGGTCTGTCTGTCTGATCACACACACACACACACACACACACACCACACACACACACACACACACACACACACACCACACACACACACACACACACACACACACACACACACACACCACACACACACACACACACACACCACACACACCACACACACACACCACACACACAACAACATCACACACACACACACACACACATCACACACACACACACACACACACACACACACACACACACACACACACACACACACACACACACACACCCACACACACACACACACACACACACACACACACACACACACACACACACACACACACACACACACACACACCACACACACACACACACACACACACACACACACACACACACACCACACACACACACACACACACGTCTATATATCCTCTGCAGCAGTCTCTGGGCGAGACAGGAAGTCAGAGGAAAGACAGGCAAGATGGCAGGAAGTCATACGAGGCCACCAGGGAGCCAAAAGGAAGCTGTAGCTGCCATTATTGACCTAAACGAGTTTTAGGGATTGTGTGTGTGTGTGTGCGTGCGTGCGTGTGTGTGTGTGTGTCTAGGCCTGTCATAATATGTTATTTAATTGACAATATATTGTAACGTAAAAAACATGATTGTCATTTTAAGACCTGATAACGATAATATAATAGCAAAGTAAAACTTTTGAATCACAAATCAAATTTAATTCTAAAGAATATACAGACTTCTGATTTGGAAAGTGAAACAAATTGTTAAGTATCCCAAAAAATAAACAAAATTGACTTATAATAGTAGGAAAACACTGCGGTTTAAAATGCTTGGCTCCAATATTGGCAAAAAACTCTTATTTTAACAAACATACAAATCATAAACAGGGCATTATTGATGTCAGCAAAAATAAATAACATAAAAATGATATGAATCTTGTCCAAATATCATATAGGATTGTTGATAATGTAAAATGATCGAGTTTTAATAACGTACAATAAATTGAAAATGTGGTTACAAGTCCATATATTAATTATCATGACCAATGTGTGTGTGCTACAGCAGTCATAGCCTCACAAAAAG